TTTTGAGAAGATCGATCTTCACTTTCCTTCAAAATTACCACTTCTTCACTCTAACACCTGCGCTTCTTGCTTTCCCTTACTCTGTTTCACTTCTTCTTTCGCAAATATTCGTTCCATCTTCTTCTTTGCTTCAATCGATCCATGCCCGACTCGATGATCTTTTTCAAGCTTCTGGGTTCCCTTATTCATCAGATTTCTTCACGCTTCTCAGTTTAAAACTTTCCCAAACCATCTGTTTCTCCGTTTTCGCACTTCCTTTCACGTTCTCTTTCTTCCTCGTTGCCAAGGCCAGCGTTATCGAACTCTGTTTCCGCCAAGGGAGAACCTCGAAGAAACCTTGTCTGTTTTCATCGGTTCTTTCACTCTACAAGCCCCTCCTCGAAACCCAAATCTGTAATTTCCTGTTGATCATTTCGGCGGATGCGACTGCTCTCTCCGTTTTGTTCTTCGGGTTCAATTTGATCAATGGGTTGGGATTGTCTTCCCCCGGTTGGCTTCATTTAATGTCGGCTTTCGGTGCTGTTTTCTACTCTCTGATTCTGGCGAATGCTTTCGTGATTTCAAACATCGCGTTGGTTTCAACGGGAAAGGACAAATCCGGTGGATATCTGTCGATTCTAAAAGCTTGCGTAGTCATCAAAGGAAGAACCTCGACTGCTTTATCGTTGGCTTTGCCTTGGAATCTCGCACTGGCGGGCATTGAAGCTCTGTTTCATTATCGGGTCGTGAGATCTTACGGCAGTGATGATTTCGGCTGGTTCTCGATGGCTTCGGAAGGGATTTTAATTGCTTATTTGTACTCCATGGTTCTTGTTCTCGACACTGTCGTGAGCTGCTCGTTCTTCGACAGCTGCACGAGAGGTGGTTTGATGATGGAGCAGGAAAGTAAATATATTTACAGGGCTGAAATTGCAGAGGGGATTGAAGATCTGCCATAGAAAATTCATCACAGAGCAGAAGAAAGAGTGGTTCAATAAGTGCATTCAAAGAATGAACAACATTCATTCATGTTCCATGGAAAACCAGCCTACTTCTGGGAGATAAACACTCTTAAATTCAACTGTAAACAAATTCAATGTCAGATACTTCAATTTTTCCCTTGTAAATTCTAATATATATATTTCTTTTTGTAATGGAATTTCGAAATTACTGTTTATGTATATGTTCCAAACCAAAACAAATACTGAAAAAAGAATGAATGAAATTGCTTTGAGACTTTTTTTCGGATTGGTTTATATTTTTAATATTTACTTGTTAAAATTTTTATTGTTTAGTACCTAGTGTAAAAAGGTTGGGCAGTTCATACACAAATATAATTATTGAAATAATTTTTTTAATTATTGTTATAAATATTCATTGTGGCCAATTTAATCAATTTCGCTTTCAGACGATGGCACTACCGCGAAATAGCTACCGCTATATCGTTTTCGTTCCGCTCTTTGAATCACCAGGTCGAAGAATAAACCAGATACAGCTTCTAATTCTTTGTGGCCCATTGAAGTCCCATACGAGTTTCCACTTACTATCGGCCGCATCCCAACCATCTTCGTTAAGCAAGTTGAAGGCTGATCGACAGGAGCAGCCCCCACTCTGGTTCCACCGCCAGATTGGAAGGTCGCATCTGATGTCAACGTTAGGAGACATGCCAAGAACCTTAAGAACAAGGCTTTCAGGGAGGACTTGGGGAAGGAATTGACAGTTCCATTCACCCCTATCGGTATCAAAGTCACAAACAGTGGCATGGGGAAATGGAATTTGGTTCGTATTAATATAGGATCCCTTTACTTTGTATTTTGTCCGCATAATTTTTGCCCAGAAAGCATTCGGCCGCATAAGAAAGTTGTATCCTAATTTAACTAGGAAAGTTTCATTTTGAGCTCAGAGAGGCCGAATACCAAACCCCCATTGGTAGCGGGTTCACAACAAGTGTCCCACTTAACCAGAGCTATTTTCGGGTTGTTCCTCGAGCCTCCCGAATGAATTGATGAGCTATTTGTTCCAAACGGTCACACACACCTTTCGGGATAGCAACAGTCTGCATAAAGTAGTTTGATATAGCTAATAGAGTAGACTTTGCCAACATCACTCTACCGCGAATGAAAGATTAGCCGCCATCCAGCCATTCAACTTCTTTTGGACTTTATCGATGATGAATTGAAAGGTGCTTTTGGTGACACCACTATGGAAAAAGGGCATGCCGAGGTATTTACTAAGGTTTGTAGAATGCTAAAAGCCAAGGGAATTGCACAACGTAGACGCCAGATTATGATTCACAATTTTTAAAAAGTCCATCTCGTCTTGTTGGAATTCACTTTATGCCTGGAGAATCTGCTAAATTGGTCTAAAATAACTCCCAAGAGATTGGTTTGTTATTGACTAGCCCTGCAAAATAAGACCAAATCATCTACAACAAACAAACGGGAGGGAGGAAGGCTACCTCTTGCCATTATCATGTGTTCCCAAAGGTTGTTTCTGTTGAATATTCAAGCCAATATTGTTGAAAGGAAGCAACATGGGCGGCTAGAATCAACATGGGGTAACCACTTTGGTTGAAATAAAAATGAAGAAAATGCATTTTAGTTACAGCACACTTTAAGGTATTTACAAGATTAGTCCTTAAGCTTCAACTATAAATACCCTAATCCATTGAGCTTCAAAATTATCTCAAATCATTTCTTTCTCCCAATACTAGAGAGCTTTATTGTGAGTAGTGAGTGTTTTGTAAATACTTGTAAATTTTCTCTCTAGTAAAAGATCTGCAGCAGTCCGGAGACGTAAGCAAAATTGGCTGAACTCCGTTATCAATTTCGGGTATTATTTTTCCGCTTTCATTTCGCATTCTCACTAATTTGGTTATAGGGAAATTACTCGTTACTATTTTTATTTCCCAACAACTAGTATCAGAGCTTTTGGTGGTGAATTTTGTCAATTTTTCTGCGAGGTTACTATTTACGTGAATAGTGAATTTTGTGAATAGTGAAATTTGGTCGGCGATACGAGTTTGTCGACGGAGGTGTTCTAATACACGGTGGTTCGTAGAAATTTTCAGAAACGATCCAAACAAAGACAGATTCGAGTGGGAGCGATGGTTGCAGACGAAGGAAATGTGAAAATTAAGAAGTTGAATGGTGCGCTCAAGACTTTCTTGGAAGGACTTAGACCAGGGTCAATGCTCGAGGGAGAGCAAGGTGATGCCCAGAGACTTTCGGAGGCCATAGCTATAGCCGGAAAGCTGACTGAGCTTGCAGGTGACAAGCCAAGTAGCGATGTGTCGTCCAGGCCCATGCCAGAGATAGTGGCAACAGTGGTGGAGACCGGGAAAAGGTGCAGCAGGGAGATGGTAGAGAAAGCTCTTCGAATGGCCAAGGTAAGCCATCGACTGTTCGTAACCAAGGAAAGCCATCGAGAAAAAATGGCAAGACTAAGTCCAGTGCGAAGAAGAAGGTCAGCAAAGAAAAATTAAAGTGTTACTTCTGTGATGGTCTTCATTTGATTAGAGGATATCCCGACTCAACCCGACCTAACCCGAAAATATATATCTTCCACCCGACTTTGACCTAACTCGAATTTTTATAGTATAAATTTGATTCAATTATGTATAAAATAAGAACTTAATCAAAAATAATAATTTTTTAGAGAAATTAGATTATTATCATTGGATCGGATTATATCAATTTTTTCACCTTCCATCCAATCCGACCTGATTTCACTCCCTTAAAAAATCAACCGACCCAATTTGAACTCCATTTTTTTTTAAAATTCTAATCCTATTAGATTAGATCAAACTGAAACATATCGATTTCGAATTAAATTATCATCCCTAAATACACCTTCAATCCTTTACCAACTCATAGAACTTGAATTATTATATAGATTAAAACATCTTCACTAATAATAAAATAACTTACTCAGTTGATGTAATAATTAGACATTGACCATTGGTTCTCGTAGTATTAGTTTTGAAATCAAATCTTCAAATATCTATCCCTATTTCCTTTTAACTTTAATAAATAAGATGATGGTAGACTCCATTATTTTACTAAATGATGTTGATTAAAAAATATATACTAATGTAACATAATTAACCTCTAAAAATCTCTTTAACCAAATATTCGAAAATAATAAAAAAAAAAAACAATTGACAAAAGGCAGAACCATTTGCTGCCTTTTAATGCCGACATGATGACCCATGGGTCACTTTCCCACTCCCATCACTGCATTGATAAAGGATGGGTTTCCCTCCCCAACGCATTCAAATGCATTCCCTCAATTGCCTAATTTTTTTTAATAATAAAGGTCTAATTTAAAATTTTAAAAAAAAAATTATAATATAACATAAAATAAGATAAAAATCATAATATTTTAGATTAAACGCAATCTAAAATATTAAATATATTTTATTTTTTTAATTTTAGGAATATTTAATTTTTAAAAAAAATAATACATAAATTTTAAATTAAAACCAGCGATTTTAATATCAAAAGACATGATTGGCAGGTAGTAGTGGTTTCATACTCGCATGGTAGCTAGGGGCAATTGAAAGAGATGGAGCAGCTATCCAAGTACTCATCAATCCTTTATCTTTTAAAATGAAATAAATCTAAGGGTAAACTACACATTTAGTGTATAAAGTAAACTATCTATTTTGATTCTTTTTAGTATCTAAACTTTTTTTTTTCAAAACTATTCTTAATATTTAATTTTTATTTCATTTTAATACTCATATTTAAAACTTATCATGTTTAGTACCTAAACTATCAAATTTTAATATGTTTTAGTAGCTAAACACAAACCAAAACAAGAGGGCAACAACAACAAAGGAATTGTTGGCCTATTTTTCACCAAAGAAGAAAACCATGCACAAGGAAAAGGACTTCAGTTAACCATAGAACAACAAGAAACCAGTAATGGTCTTCTTTTTTTACTTTTCTTCTTTCAGTATCCAAACCAAGCAAAAGACACCCATTCAAACTTGCATTTATACCCACCCCCAAGTCTTGGAAAAGCAAAAGTCTTATAAAAATAATCCCATTTAAGATTGCAATAACATACTGATATTCAAGTCTCAAACTATTTCGGACCAATGTCCTTGAGAGAACAGATCTGCTCCTCCCCCATTGCCGACATAACAGACACGACCAAGTCTTTCCCCTCGGCAAACCCGTCCTTGATCTGCAGTCACCATCATGGTACAGATATCCAATCTCAGTTCCAGCATATCAAAAATGAGAAATGCAATGAATGAAGCTGTTTATACGTGTAGGCACGACTATGTTCCCCGAAAAAAAATACAGGATTCAGTCAGTATGCTTGCATCAAGTGGACAGAAAAGCAACAGTGGACCGGATTGAAATCAATAAAACTCCGCGAAAATAAAAACGAAACAACTTTAACCTCTCTCGAGCAGGTATGCTCGTGATGCCACTGCCCCTTGGGCAGGGGCAATCTGGCGGAAGGAATATGCTAAAAAGCATCCAACCTTGGGAACTCAAATATCAATTGTCAAAAGCACAAGGGAAAAAGAAAAGAAGGTAATTGACCTGTTTCAACAGGCTCTCATCAGTTGGGAGCCTCAGATCATCCTTAGTGTCTCCACTATCAGTCAGCAAACTCACCTGAGAAATATTTAATTTAACTAATAATTAAGAACACATACACAAACACAGAACCATCAAGTAAAAAAACTTACAAATCCGTCCTCAGAAATGTCGATCAGCTGGTAGTCAGTACGATTCACATGCGGAACCTGTTAAAACAGAAACAAAATCAACCAATAATGCCAAAGAAATCACATGACAAATTAAACATTAAATCTGAGAATGAGGAGAAATGAAAAACAATTTATGAACGTTCACATTTCATACATCGCAGTTATGGGACGAGGGAACGATATCTTCCAACTTCTTGCCAGTGAAGATATCGATTCCGACAAAGTGACACTTAGCGTGTCCGTGTTTCCCCGTCTTGGAGGTGGAAACTTCCACAACCTGGTGCACGCCACCACAAAAGAACAATCAAGTTAACTAAACTTGCAAATCATCATAAGCTCAAATCTAAATAGCAACCATAGGGTGCAATTCTCCAGTCCACCAATCAAACACTAACCTATCACATGCCAATAGTTTCTATAACTTTAATCAGCTTCAACATAACCAGAAGATTCATAACAAATTATTAATTTCTTAAAAATATAGACCTTGATTTACTTGTTCTTTTTGTTACTTTTTCACTTCCATTTCACTTCATCGAAAGTAAAAAGTCACATCCAATTCTCAATTCTTTTAAATTTACAACAAATATTTAAAACTACTTTCAGAATCAAAATAAAATATATAAATTAATGTAATTCAAGCATCAAAAGTTAATATCAAACGTAATATTTAGATCTCAATTTTCCAAATATGAACATTATTTAAAAAATCTGATCCGTCAAAATCTCAAATAATATCCACAAAGAAATCAAAACCATCAACACATCATTCAAAACAGAGAGAAAGAAAATATAGACTCCGATATACAAAAAAAAAACCTTGCAGGGACGGTTCTTGATGACGATGTATCCGTTCTTACGAATGGTACCAGCTTGCTGAGGGTAAGTTTTAGAGGCGCCGGCGTCGGCTTTGGATTCAAAATGGTGTTCCTCGTCAGACATTTTTGTGCTTCAAATTTCTCTCTTTTTTTCAGCAAAGATTGGGCGGCGCAGATGAGAGGATGGATTCTTATTTATAGAAATCGCTTGATGTTAAAAGAGTTTTTTTTAAGGGTTTTTCAGATTTTGATTCCTTGTTATCCAGTGAATTCAAGGAGTGAAGACGAGTCATCTGACATTGGAACCGTTGATCTTCAATGAAAATGAGTTTGAAGGGATGCGATTGGAGAAATATTCTGCGTTTTCTTAACGCTAACAATTTTAATATTGTATTTGAACTATACTCACGTTCATCTTCTTTATATTATTCTTTGAGGTAGAATCCCTAATTTATTATTTTCGTATTAATTTAATCCTTAAAATTATTTAATTACATCATTTTATAAGTTTATGTTTAACTTAAAATTTTTAATTATAATCCCTAAATCATATCTCTATTACCTCTACACACTAATTTAAGGTTTATAATTTATGATTTTAAGTTAGGAGAAGGACATGAAATGATGCAATTAAAAAAATTTTAGGTTTAAATTGATGCAAAAATATAATAGAAGCGAAAATAATAAATTGATCTACTATAGAGGCAAAGCAAATGTGATCCTTAAACTTTATTTTAATTTTATTTATAAAAAATATATTTTTATTGCCCTTCGGTTATAAGGTTTTGTCTTAATTAATCCGGATCGACCTACGTTGCAGACCTAGCTTTGGTAGGTGAGTCTCCTAGCAGGAATTTTTTGTATATACAAGGACTCAAACTCGAGACCTTGCTTAAACAATATCAAGCTGTTTACTACTTGAATCAACCTTTGTTGGTAGGACAATAGGATTATTGACAACAAATTACAAATTTAAATTAAAAAGACAATTATAATTAAAATCCATTATTATAACTATTTATATAATTTATTTATTTTTAATAAAAATAATAAATACAATTAGAATTAGAGTTAGAGATAAATAAAATCATATCTAACCTAAAAAAATTAAATTCCAAATTAATTAAATCAAATTATTTGTATTAAGAGTTTGTTGATTAGATTGCGAAGCTCTAATTTGGGCCAAGTTCGTTTTCCCCTATGCTACATCTCAGGCTCTTTAATAAGTAGTCTATTCCATTGCTACATGCTAAACTTATTACAAAATTGGAGTATTTAATATTTATGAGTCAAAAAGTCACTCGTTTGTATCATAGATTATAAATTGTATGATTTTTTTGGGTGACAAATTGTGTGATTTATTTAATTTGAGTGATGTTAGATTATCATAAGCAGAAATGGATCGAGGGAGGCGGGTGGGGCAGACGCTCTTTGAATTTTAAAATTAACTTATATTTTAAATTTTTTCTGTTTATTTTCTATCAAAAATATGTTTTCGTCCCCTATAATTTTATAAGTTCAAGTTCGCTTCCAACAAAAAAAAACTTGAGTCCGTCCCTAATCACAAGTAATGCAAAATTTTAGAATAATGCTATTTTGTTTTATCCTAACATTAGTTGATAGTTATAATGTAAGATTACTAATATTACAGACTCTATTTATGGATACCTTAATTCTAAATAAATAAGAAATAGTGGCTAGGAGAGATTTACCTTTAAACTTATGTATTGTCTAATTCAACTCCTCGTTCCATCCTCCGATCCCCTTAATAAGGCTGCACAGCCCCAAGACGGAGGCCCAACATCTCTTCGAGTAAGGACAATCGAAGAACATATGGTCTCTACTCTCCCCAGCGATATCACACAACAAACAATCCCTACTCTCGACCCTCATCCCCATACGCATCAATAGATCCTTCGTAGGGAGTTTCCCCAGAATAGCAATCCACGAGATGGTGTTATGCTTAGGGACATGGCCAGGAAACCAGACCAACCTTTGCCAGTCGATTCGATCACTTACCACCCTAATCTCATCCCAGATGTTCTTCACCTTCAGCATCTCCGGGAAAATATTAGCGACAAATAAAGGTAAAGCTTAGACCACAGCTTAAGCATTCTCTTGAAGCTTCAGCTAACATTGATTTTAATTCTCACTTGCCAGAAATCAGCCCCTTCAAAATGTAAGTACGAACCCATTCCACCCTAAGAGATCCCTCCCCAGCAAACAACTTCCGAATTAAATGGATAGAGCATGCCCTGTTCCACGAGCGAAGGTCCCTTAAGCCTAGCCTCCTTACTCACTTCAAGCAGCATATATGCCCCCAACTCACTCTGGCCCTAGTCACATAAGAATCATAGCATTTCCGGAAACATCGAGCGCACAACCGTTCCACTCTTTTAATAACCCCCTAAGGAAGCACTAATTGCCTGCGCCCCATGCTAAAAATAACATACCGAATGAATTGGAGTCTGCATGCATAGCTAAGATGCCTGCTCGCCCATTGACTCAGCCTAGCCTTGTAACTAGTATTTTTTTAACTACCTTTCAAATTTGGTCAAATTAATCAAATTTGAATGAAACTATTGATTAATTAACCATTAACATTTAACAGTCGTTGTTGATTTGACACATTCTATTTATGTTTAATTATTTACATGATATATTATAACGTTAATATATAATTTACATCTTATATGTATGTTATAATGATAATATTTGTTTTAGAAATATATATTTTTAAAGATTATTAACATGGATGTAAATGAATAAAACGTTTGATGAATTATTCATGAATCATTAGTGTAATGGCTCGTACATTCGTTTATTAAATCTTTTATAAACTTGTTTATTCAATTTTTCTTTTATTTTTTTATATTTAGGAAAATCCAAGTTACAATTTAGGAAAATCCTATTTATATATGGATATGGAAATTTACTTTTTTCAATTAAATTTAATCATGTTTTTCTCTTTTTTCAAATCTTACTCTTCAGTTTATCAAAGATTCTTTAATTTTTAGTCATCTCCATTCTCAATCTAACAATAAAATAATATACAATTCTTTTTATTTATTTATTATTCAGAATAAAGCTATGTATCATACATGCATTCTATTTTTTTATATTCATTTTCTTTTAGTTGTGGGATCGAGTCCCATGGAGGGCATTTCATAATTTGGAGGTCTCCTACGAAAGTTGCTCTCAACCTAGTGTTGGGGCAGCCTATTATCTTACCTCCCCTTATCCCATTACATATGGGAACAAGGGACAGCCATTTTTAGTTGTATTTAAGGCATTTTCTTAATAATTTAATAAAAATAATATATTTTCACAAAGTTTAATCATTTTTCTATAATTTATTTATGTAATATTGAATTAATTGTTTAAAATAATGAAATAAATTTTCATTTTGTATAAATATCTGGGACGACTCTGCACCGTTATTTATAAAGATGAAGAACTTGTCATAGATCTTTAAGGATAAAGAAGATGCCTCTTATCAACATATAATATGAATGAAATGTTTACTATAGAAAGTAAAAGCCTTTGTGAAAATGATTGAGCTTTGACCTGAATTGTGGGTCATTGCATTTAAAGGATCTATCTTAAGTTTTAATCATATTTGAAATCCTATACATTAAAATGAGTTAGTCCATATAATCACTAATTTAAGTAAAAAGATTTAAATAAAAACTAAAGTCCAATGGGATTGCCTTCAATTATTGCAGAGTGAGTGTGTTTCCAAGAGCCCTAGTGGATATCTACCTTCATTCGATCCAATAAGAACAAAAATGGTAGGATAAGTGTGATTAGTTAGAAAACCATAATTTATATCTCCATTGTCATAACCTGAATGTTTCATTCGTGCACGAACCAACTTACTTCAATGGTTAAAGGAATCGTTGTTGTTCTTTGAGGTCACGGGTTCGGACATCAGCTACTGCAGCAGGGTGATTGAGCGTTCATTGTCAAATGGTTGAGAGTATTTAAAACAGATACTACTTTGTAATCAATTTAGTTTAATAAAAAGAATGTTTCATTCGCATGTGAGGAAAGATAACTAGTTTGTGGAGGCGCCATTGATGATCTCAACTTTGCACAATTTTTCTTCATTTCCCCAACAACCCACTCCTTCAATTTCATATAGAGATGATGATATCTTTATTGAAAAAAAAAACAGTCGTAGATAAAGCACTTCTCTATGCATATTACGTGTGTATAAATGAAGACGTGTCATATATCTCGTGTATATAAACGATGATGTAGTACATATAATACGTACATAAATGATGATGTTGAACGTATAAGATTTTTGTCACGTTAATGATAATATTAATTAATTAACTAATAATTTTTATCTAATCCAAAAGTGGGATCATTCATGTTGTATCCGTACAAACATCTCATGTGGCTATGGAAAGATGGTACCAAATAAATAAATAGTCCAGGTTGGAATTGCAATTCAAGTTCAAGTTGTGAGAGTAATGATGTTTCTGCCTGTCGCCCTGGAAAATAAAGCAATTTTCCTTTGCCTTTTCGAGTACACCACGCCAAATTAGAGACCTAGGTGTTCATGCCTCGAACCAACAAAACGACTTCGGTGGTAAAATAATTATTGTTATTTTTTTAGGTGTCTCGGGTTCGAGCCTCAGGAATAGGGGTGTAAACGAGCCGAGTCGAGCTCGAGTATTGTTGAGCTTGAGTATTGCTGAGCTCGACTCGACTCGAAAACTCTGAAATGGAGGTCGACTCAAACTCAAAATCCTGAACTGAAGCTCGTGAGCAGGTCGAAATGAAAAAAAAAATCTTAAACTTAACTCAATTGAAGCCTCAAACTCAAACTCGAACATAAACCTTAAATACATAAAAATCTTATTACATTTAAAAAAATAATACATAAATATTAATATTATTAATAATTTATTTTTTAAAAATAAAATATTAATATATTATATTTTCGAGTTGCACACGAGCTTTTCGAATCGAATATCGAGTAGCTCATTTCAGCTCGTTAAGAACTCGAGTCGAGCTTGAGCTCGAGTCAAATCCATTCGATCCGAGTATTTATCGAGTCGATATCGAATAGCTCGCGATCTGTCTTGTGTCATTTACAGGCCTACTCAGGAATGCCAAGAATTTAATATCAAATAGTTGAGAGTTATATTTGAACATATAATGTATTATACTTATCCCATATTAATAAAAAAAATTAGAATATTCATAAAGATATCTTTGATTATTTCAAATTCATCTTCGAACTATGACCCTCGTTTTAAATTATTCCTCAAAATTTTGAACATTCCGACACTGTCCCCTAAATCATTCAAATGTTTGGAGTAAAATTACTCCCTAGATAGTATTTTTGTTCTAAAGACAGCGATTTTTTATCAATTTAACGATTTTATAACGACAACAATCAAATTGTTAATGTCTTAAAAATTGGTGTCTCGGTTGTAATAAATTAGGTTGCAGTGGCAAAATTACAAGCACCCTACAAATTGAATGGCCAATTAAGAGTTCCCCCTTTTTTTACTATAAGTTGATAATATTTTATTTTTTTAAAATATAAAAAAGCTATAAAATAATAATTAAATAGGTATTAGTATCTTTTTAGTCCATTTTCGTTAATCGTATAATGATCATAATAATAAATTTTATTCAAACAGTGTATCTAATACATAATAACAAACCTCTAACAATTAAGATTTACCTACATAGTCTATTTTCTTTTTAAAAAGTCACGTTTTTTTATCATTGGATTAATTGAGTTTAATTATTAAGATTACAATTTTTAAGTTGAGGGTAATTCGCTTTCCTTTATTTTCTCCCTTTCTTATTAGGGTTAATACTAAAATAAGTGTTAAAAACTATATCGTTTTTCTCGAATAAGGGCTAAACTAGTTTTTTACTCATCCTGGTGTCTAATTTTACAAACATGACCATTTTATGTGCTCGGGATGTCAACGACGTTAGTTTCCCCTGTTAAATGTCACATGTAACAATATGGTGATTTTGAAATTCATTTTTTTTTAAAATATTATTATATTTATAAAAAAATCATAATTTCTCTTAAATTATAAAAAAGCCCGAAAACCTATAAAATCCCCAAATCCTAACATTAACCCACCGCAGTCACCCTTTCCGACCACGATCACTGTCGTCGATGTAGTCTCTACTATCCTCCTAGTCATACGGCGCCGTAGTTGCCGCCGATTGGCCTTCGAAATCACGTGAGATTGCGATTTTCATCATAGAGTTTGCAAGTATAAAATGTTGATTCACCGTCAATCAGTCGTCGTCATTCGGTCACGATTTCATAGGGGTTTTGGTTCTCAGGGGATGTGAGGTCGAGTGGAGCTTTGTCAACGGCAAATGGCAATGGTCGACGTTGGTTTAGGGGTTCAAATGAAGTTTTTGAAGTTTTGGGTTATTTCAAAATGTTTATGTTTTTTAATTTATATATATATATATATATATATATATAATTTTAAATTTTAAATATAATTTTTAAAATTACAGGATTATGATACGTTCACTTAACGGTGGAAATTAATACCGTTAACTGCTCTTGCACCTAAAGTGGTAACGTTAGGCACCGGGATAAGTCAAAAAATATTTAAAGCACCTATTCGGGAAAAACGGTATAGTTTCATTACTTATTTTGGTATTAAACCTTCTTATTAATAATTAAAATCATTCATTTTCACTCATCTATCTATAAAAAAAACTTGAAAATATTTTAGAAATTGTGAACGGATCATCTCTATTTCTAGCAGATAATGTTGGAACAACTTAAGAAGGAATCATTTCAATCCCCACTAACCAAACAGTGGTTTTTGTGCGATAAGAGAGAGAGAGAGAAACAGTGGAATTTGTAGGCAGCAAGCATCCCAGCCAAATTCTGCCTATAAATTACAGCATGGCTATGAATGGCATAGTTAAGAGTGAAATGGAGAATTCTTATGACAGCAGCATTGCTCATAAATCAAAGGATGTTTCTCTCAAAGACCTCAGCAACAGGCTTGCCGAGTTTGCTCATGTTAGAGGATGGGATCAACATCATAGTCCAAGAAATCTCCTATTAGCACTAGTAAGCCCACTCCATCTTAAAAGCTTTCTCCACCTACAACGTGCATCCGTCCCTTAAATCATATATCGATACCCGTGTTGGATACGAATATATATGCGTCTTACAAAGCACTTTTTGCATATTAAGAAGATGCCTTGATGTTATAGTTCTATATCCATGCGTCATACACGAGTATTTCAACGAAAATTCCAACATAACAAATGTTATTACTGTTGCATGTCGTGTCGTGTCCCGAATAATCCGATATGTCTTGATAATTGCAGGTGGGAGAAGTAGGAGAGTTGTCGGAGATATTCCAATGGAAAGGGGAAGTCGGGAAAGGACTACCAAATTGGAGTGACGATGAGAAGGAACATTTAGAAGAAGAGCTGTCGGATGTGCTGCTTTACTTGGTTCGCCTGGCCGATGTCTGTGGCCTTGATCTCGGCCAAGCTGCTCTAACCAAGATCATCAAGAACGCTCGCAAGTACCCCGTTGCTGTTATCAATCAGAACTCTATATCTTCTTACAACTAAGGACCCCATCTTCTTTATCATATTCTACTTTATCAAGTTTTGAGACTTTTCGAGTTGATTTTTGTTTGAATCTTACAAGCCCAACATATGAGTATGTTTCTTTTCGGAGAGAATAAAGATAATACTATATATAAATAGTATACACTTGTTTGGAAAAGCATGATAGTATATATCAGGGGAATTATTAAGGGGAAAAAAAGTAAAATTTAGTATAATATGTGTTGAATAATCGGGTAAAGAAAATGGAAAGAACACATTTACAAAAATAACCTTGTATGGGGTTGCGCCTCCAACCCACATAATCGTAATCTCACTACGAGACTTTCTTTGTATTATGAGCCATACATAACAATATGTTAAAAAAATGAGAAAAATAAAATTTTTGCACCCCATTATTTTTAAGAAAATAAAATTAAAATTTTGGACCACATTTATAAATTTCTGTATCCGCCACTGATATATATATATATCAATTATATTATGATAGAATTAACCAATTCAATAAAAAAAATCTATTTAATTTTGAATTATTTTAAGAGGTTTAACTTCTTTGTTTGATTTTCTAGGTTTAATTTCGTCCCATATTTTTTTTTCAAATAACAATCACAAAACATAGTAAACTCGTTCTATCCATTTGATTTTATAATGATATTTCATTATTATTTTTCCTATATTATCCTCGGAATAACTCAATTTTTTAATAATTTTTGTTAACTTGGAGTAAAAACAAGATAATATTTATTTAAAAATAACTCACAACTAGTGACGGATATAAAAATTTAAAATTTTAGGATGAAGAGAAGAAAAGGGTTGAGAGGAAAATTTAATTATTATTGTTATTTAAATTATAATTATAATTATTATTTAAATAATTATTGTTATCATTAGTAATTTTAATATTTTATTATAAAAATATTATTGTCTTCAATATTAAATCTATGAATAATATTTTTATCATTAACAAAATTACAGTCGTTATTATTTTTATTTTTAAAAATATATTAAGTACAAATATTTGTATTAATTAAAAGTTCTAATGAATGACAGTCACAAAATTTAAAATAATTTTTAAATTATCACATATATTTTATTTATATGTAAAAAAGAAGTGAATATTCAACTTAAAAAAATAACGAAGATAAATATTATTAGTTAAGACCACGAATACCGTGACGAGTCGAATCATCTAATAATTTCTCCTATAAACTTAACTTAAGGGTTGTTTGATAAAATAAAATGATTAAACATTGAATGATTCAATGACCTAAATGATTCAAATATTCTGTATGAATTGACTCTGAATATAACATGTTGTTTGATAATAATTCTAAATGTATAACTTGAATTATGAATATTTTCATTTTTACCTTCATAATAATTTAATGGCAGAAAGAGGCGGCGGAGAGCGCGGCGCTTTCAGGCGTGGCTTCGGCGGCGGGAGATCCGATCGTGGCCCGAGAGGCTGATGCCGTGACCGCAAAGATGAGGAGGAGAAATGGGTTCCGGTGACAAAACTCGGCATTTAGACAAGAGGGAAAAATATCTTCCCTCGAACAAATCTACCTCCATTCCCTCCCCATCAAAGAGTACTAAATCATCGACCAGCTCGTTGGCCCTTCACTGAAGGACGAAGTGATGAAGATCACTCCCGTCCTGAAACAAACACGTGCCGGCCATCGCACCCGTTTCAAGGCCTTCGTCGTCGTCGGCGACGGAAACGAACACGTTGGGTTGGGAGTGAAGTGTAGCAAAGAAGCTGCGACTGCTATTAGAGGGGCCATAATATTGGCCAAGCTGTCGGTAATACTAGTGAGGAGAGGCTACTGGGGGAATAAGATCGGCAAACCTCATACGGTGCCGTGTAAGGTTACCGGAAAATGTGGGTCGGTCACTGTTAGGATGGTACCGGCTCCTAGAGGTGCGGGGATTGTGGCTGCTAGGGTGCCCAAGAAGGTGCTTCAGTTTGCTGGGATTGAAGATGTTTTCACTTCCTCGAGGGGTTCCACCAAGACTCTTGGTAACTTTGTCAAGGTATTGAGTTTTTCTTTATAAGTTTTACTTATTTGAATTCTTGTTGTTTAAATACTATTTATGGATTAAGATCAATTTGGAACTTTGGTGTTATATATTTTAGTTTCCTGCTACTGAACTTTTGGATTGATGTTCGCTATTGTTTCTTATGGTTTGTTTAATGGCTTTGGCTTGCTCAAAATTATTGTTTGGTCAGAAAAACTGTTGATACTAGTATATTTAGCTTACTACACCAACATAAACAAACAAACATGATCACAGCCTTGTTGCTGAGTGCTTGTAAATTGTTTGGAAAATTAGGGTGCCTTCATGCTTGATAGCTATGCTTATTTTCTTATTCTTGCAAATGTAAATGCAGGTCACCTTTGAGTGTCTTCTGAAAACTTATGGTTTCTTGACACCTGGTTTCTGAAAAGAGACTCAATTCACGAGGTCTTCTTTCGAAGAATATACTGATCTGTTGAGGAAGCCATCAAAGACTCTTGTACTCGAAGACGTTGAGAGGGTGGATGTATGACGAAGGGGATCGACCGGTCACTAGTTAGATGTGGCTTCAATGCCTTGGAAATAGTAATATGATGTTTACTTTTGTGGTTGTTAAGTTAAAAAAAGATGATACATCTCAACTCTTTTGCTTTCTTTGTTTTTGTCATATGAGATAATCGGTAGCTTTTCAGCAGCTGAAGACTGTTTTTCACTTTTATGGATTCTTTAGATTATTTCAGTTTACATGTGTTCCAAGTCATTTTTACTCTGTTTGGCGATTGTGCATTCACATTCTATTTACGCACACATGCTACTTTATTCGGATTGTGGTGACTACCATATATACTATGTTATTATTTATGTTGAGATTACGTGCCTGGATTAGGCGTGATAAGGGGTATTTCGGAAGGATACTACGACCCATCTACCACTGGTGTCTCAGATGATATCTCCTGCCCCTGCATTTACTGGATTGTTGATAGAACATCCATCTGAATTAAGCTTAAACCATCCAAGGGAAGGTGATACCCCTCTTACACTCACTGCACAGATGGAATAGGTTGAAACCTAGGGGGAGGAGATTAGGTCGGCGTGATTCTCGGCAGCCTTCAAAAGGGCCTTGGTTTCCTCTAAAGATTTTTTCATTCATTGCGAGACATATCTTGTGTAGGAATGAAGCAGAACATGAGTTTCCCGAGGAATTCTATGTTCATCATGCCACATCGTGGAGCTCAGCTGTGAATGCTTCCAAACCTTAAAGCTTACCCTCGGGTTTGGTTGGTTAGCATTACTAAGCCATACTCGATTCCACCAAGCTTGCGAGATGACACAAACTGATGTTGAATGATTTCAGGGTGTTACGGCACCACTCATCGAGTTGAAGTCCTCGTTAGGTCTTAGTAGGTAAGGCCTTATGTATGCATGCCTAGAGAAGTTGATTTTGGGTGGAGAATGCCTTTCCAAATAGTAATCCAGTCAAGGTACATGGTGGACTTCATATTTTACCGATGACATCTTATTTCAATTATCATTGCCACCCAACAGTAGTCTACTGTTGATTTTGTCAAGCTTTGGGCAAGTTCTTTAAGGGATTAAACCAAATAAATCCCAATGTTGGTACTGGATTTCATATTCAAGAAATGGAAAATATAATCCCAATGTTGGGCAAAACAAGTCATATTATATAATAGTTTTACATTATATAAGATAATAGATGTCGGTGTAAGTGTTGGATATAGATATACATATGACATGAAAATATTTAGTTTTTTCGAATAATAAAGTTTATTTTCATGAAGATTCTAAATAAATACTCCATATAATAAAAAAAACAAACATGCAATTATAAGACTAGAACAAATCTAGGTTTATGTTATACAAAGATTAATCTCAATCCTCTTCTACGTTGTTAGATGGCAATGGACTGCTAGCTGTCTCTGTTCGATTCGTTTGAGGCTGACACAGTGCTGCTGCCATCTTATTGTACAGCTCCATGTTCATCGACTGCATCCAAAAAAAAAACCCATATTAGTTGATATCAGAAAAAAAAAGCAGCAAAATCCCTACATTGCACGTACTTGAGTTAGGAAAGCCCAAGACGGGTCAGGCAAAGGGATGGGGGCATTAGAACTGCCACTTGCATTCGCTTGAGTTGCTGCAGCGGAGGCCACGGCTCCTGGAGGAACCATAGGCGGTGGTGCAGCTGTCGTGAAGGGCGGCGGAAGATGCAAAAGAGATTGGGAAGCGTTGCGAGCCATGGCGGCAGCGTTGATGTCTAGCAATCCCATGCCCATTCCTAAACCATGATGGTTAACTCCCATGCCTCCCATTATCCTACTTAAAACAGACATCTGCAGCTGCTGCTGCTGCTGCTGGTGCAGACCTAGATGCATCATCATCATGGGATGGATGCTTCTCATACTCATCATCTGAACTTGTGCTTGTAGTTGCTTCAAGTATTCTATCACTTCGTCAAGCATTGATGCTTTATCTGTCTATAATAATATCGTAATTGTATTGATATTCGAATCTCAAACTTGTTAGATGTATCTTAAATTTAAGCTCAGCTCGGCCCGACCCGAATTTTTATTACTATCTTACCTTGCTCGCATTTGGCACCAACTTCTGTAGGGTCTTCATCCTTTGATTAATTCTATCTCTCCGTTTCTGCTACAGCAAAATACAAAATGTGAAAAAAAACCCCACATAAATCTTGTACTGTGATTCGGGCAGATGGAGATCGGACTTCAATTTTACCCTTTCAGACAGATTATGAATAGCTGCTGCTCGACTTCGTCTCGTTGACTGAGATCGACCTGTTTCATCTCGGCTTTCCTATAAATTTTCATGGTTTGAGTTTAGATAAAATTGTAATCACTAATCAAATTGTTAAAAAAGAAAGGCTTGTTCTTTTTACCGATCCATCATGGAAACCAGAGTCGCTGCCGTCGGTGGTTTTCGTTTTCAAGCTCCGAAGAGATTCACGGGAACAAGTCAGCATCGTCGCATCGTTATCGACCTTGTGAAATGTACCACTGGCGCATGCACTGCGGTCACCTCTATCTTCTTGATGAATCCCACAACTTATTATGTGTTTCCTGCATGGATCTGATTCCGATATCGACCAAGCCCGTTTCTTCGGTAATTGACCGAGGCTTTCTCCGCCGGACGATGCACCGACTATGTTTGCTGGGGTGATCCGGTCCGAGTTTGGGTTCTGGCATGTGACTTGATGGACTATGGACTCTAGTGTGTCACTTGACCTACATGGTGGCTTTGTTGTTGGTGCAGTACGGAGGAACCCGTTGAGCCCATGCATGGCGGCTAACTGGCCATTTCGCCATGTTTGCTCTGCAACTTCGTAGTTGAACCTGAATTACAAGCAAAAATAATCATAAAGAAAAAAAAGCATTGGAAAGGACATAGTAATTTAAGGTGGTAAGAGTCCATACAAGGGGACAACGTTGTTAAACGAAGATCTGTGGACTTCTTCTCCTTCATCGTCTTCTTCGACATGTTGTTGTCTTGGTCTTTGGCGCTTTAGATTCCAATTTGGTACCAAACACTGACTCATGATGATGAGTTGATTCTTTCAAACTCGCTCTCTTGTTTTGTCTTGATTTATGGCCAATCTCCAAATCCAGTTGGGAGTTTGAACTCTCTTATTTCCTTTTCTTTGGGGTCCCATGAACATGTGGTAGCCAACAAATGTTGGATATGCTTTGCCCTTCTCCACCATTTTCTATCTATTTATTACCCATATAATCATTCCATATTTAATTTTTCTCCATCTTTAGTTAGTATGTAACGTCACTAACTTTAATATTGATCGTCGCCACCGATATTTCTTACTTTTCTTTTATTTTCTTATATCATATTTTTAATTTTTTTTTAATTTTTTAATAACTTATTCATTATGACGCGTTTTCTATTATCTTTTGTCACGTTTTCAATTTATTGATCCTTTTTATCGGTTGGATTTGGCATTGGCTAATCAAGATGACACTTATCAGTTATCATGATGATTTTTCTTGTTTTGAACCTTTAGATTAGATTTGGATACATGATTTGCTTTCGTTAATAGTTTTCTCACGTCGTTCAACTCTGATTAACTTTTTGATCTTCTTTTGTGGTTCATTTTTCAATGCGATAAGATTTGCTCGTATTTACCTTTCGTTCGATTTTTTGTTTGGTTTTTTTTAAAATGATCATTGTATGGTCCTTGTATGACCTTATGTAGCTAGTTTCTTGTGTTAACGATTATAGGAAAAATGTCTTATTATGTGTTTAGTTAATGTTATAATTGTAAACATTCATTATAATTATAGTATTTTCTATTTTTACTAAAACTAGTTGATTTTATCCGTAAAAAAATTATATGTTTAAAAGTTTGGTGACCAATTCAAAATGAGGGTCATAGTTTTGAGACATATAGTGCAATTGCATAATGACAAAATTACCATCAACATTTACACAAATGGTCACTTTTGCCCATATTCTTTTTTTAGAATTTTCTCCTCAAACGTTTCAATTTTTTGTCAGAATACCCTTTGTTAGAATGTAACCGTTAGTTGACTAACAATCAACACATAATAAGACATTTTAAACATATCAAATGTCACATCAACAATATGTATTGATCGTTAATCAATTAACAATTTTCTTCAAATAAAGGGAATTTTAAACAAAAATTAAAACGTTGAGGACTAAAATACTAAAAAATATGAGCTAAAGTGATTATTTATACAAATATTAAAAGTAATTTTATCGTTATGTCTTGTATAATTAAATCAAAGAATTGAAATTTTTTCTTTCTTATCTACATATTTGAGAGTATAAATTAAATACCCATAAATAAATTTAATTGATTGTATAAATCAGAAGAGATAAATCACAAACAATTATCTTATCTCCTTCCTCCTCAATCAATTAAACTTTTATAAATAATAATATTATCTATTACACATAAACAATATTATACTTTTAGAATAATTTTAAAATTATATTTCCTATGATTTATGATTATTAAAAAGATAATTAAAAGAACACATTTAATATAAATTTATTAATTTATTTGTCAGTTTCTTTTAAAAGAAATAAAAGTCAATTACTCTTAGCTAGCTTCTTCATTTCTTGGGACCATGGGAGGGATATTACATTATATTACATGTTATTGAGTACATTTATTTATATAAGCCATTCATATTTTTTTGGCAAGTAGACTATGAGTTCCATATAGGGACGAGCGGGTCGGGTGTGGATATCTCCTCCTCATCTCCATACCCACCTAATATTTTCAAATCCACCATCCGCCGACCACCCATGATGGGGAAAAATTTCAAATCCACACCCGCCCACGCGGGTACATTCTCAAATCCATCTCCAAACTCACTATCCAGCTGGAGACGAACCCGGCTAGACCCACCTGACAGCAACCTTAAGTTATACATAAACAACAAACATAAAACAAACACATCCATTAAGAAACATAATAAAATAAACCAAAGATTATCTGAGTTAATTGTTAACATAGATCTTAAAGTACATAAGACATCATAATAAAAGACATAATTAAAGCCTAGAAACATAAATGACAAACATATAATATTTTTGTTCTTTGGCACACATAAACAACAAACCCTAAAATTATACCTAAATTTATAATGGTCCAAAATTTAATAGATATTTAGTGGGCGGGCAGATGTGGGGCGGGCGGATGCGAGGCGAGTAAGGTCTTAAACCCATCACCTGCCCACTACCCGCGACGAGTACCACTTTCTAAATTCACGTGAATTTAGAACGAATTTAGAACGAATACGGTGCAGAATCCACAAAAATGTACCCGTTTGTCATCCTTAGTTCCATAGACTAGGACCCCGAGATTTAATCAATTTCTATTTATTCAAATAAATTTATTATATCATATGGTTGATCGGTGAGAAAGATTTTCATTGAAATTAACATCACAAAATTTAATAATATTTGTCGGAGAAATAAATTTCATCCTCATCTCACAACTCATGGTCCTTACTAATAATAAATGTCCCTTTGGTCCGTAGAAATAGACATGTTTAGGTCTTAAACAAATGTTTTTTTTAGGGTAAAGTACACAAATGGTCTCCAGGTGATGTTTTCTTGAGTCCTTCAACTATTAAAAGTTGTAAAATGATTCTTCAATTATATAATGTTGCTTTGTTAAGTCCCTTGACTATCAAAAGTTACAGAATGGTCACCCGACTATTCATTTGTTCTAAACTCGTCCTTTTCCATCAAAAAATTGGCAGTTGTCTGAGATGGACGTTAATATGATGCTGAGATATGATAGTCGTTTGAGATTCTAGGATCAAATTTTATCATATCATAGTCAATATGTTAACATTCAACTTAAAATTCCGTCAATTTTTTAATGAAAAAAGACAAGTTTGAAACATAATGAATAGTTGGGTGACCATTTTATAACTTTTAATAGTCGAGAGACTCAACAAAGCAATATTTTATAGTCAGAGGACCATTTTATAACTTTAATAGTCAAAAGACTTAATAAAGTAATACCTTATAGTCGGGTGACCATTTGTGTACATTACCCCTTGTTTATTTGGAATATATATGAGTTTTTTAATAAAGAAAAAATTGTTTGAAAACCGAATGTGATATTTAATATCAATCAAGTTTTAATCTTAAAACTAAATTTAAAATTTTATAAATTCGAGTCAATTCAATTTAATCTTAGCTTCTATATCTAATAATAAAAATATTTTTATTTAAATTTAATTTATAATATATATAAATGTAAATTAATGTTTAGCTAAAATAGTTACAATACTAACCTATACTATAATTTCTATGATACAAATGCTTTAATTATAATTCTAAAATTTGCATTATTATAATATTTGAATCAGTATAGTAGTTGGTATATTTAGTTATATTACCTTTTTTTTTAATAATAAATATTAACTATTAATTGCATTTATGCACGAACCAACTTACCTTAATGGTTAAAGTAATCATTTTTATTCTTAGAGGTTAAGGGTTGGAGCACCAACAGCTGTAGGAGGGTGATTGAGGGCTCATTGTCAAATAGTTGAGAGTATTTAAAACATATATTACTTTGTAATCACCTTAGCTTAATAAAAAATATTAACTGTATTTATTAAAAGAACTATTAATTAATTAAAGGATAAATTACGTGTTTAGTACTTAAACTATCAGTTTTGATCCGTTTTAGTATCTAAACTTTCAATTTTTTTAAACCACACCTAAAGTTTAGTTTTTGTTTCATTTTATTACCCCTATTAAAAAATTTAACGTTGATTTTTTTAAAAAAAAAATGAAAGTTTAGGTATTAAAACGGACCAAAACTGATAGTTTATGTACTAAAAACGTTAACTTGTTAACAGTGGGGTACTAAAATGAAACAAAATTAAATGTTAAGTATGGTTTTGAAAAAAATTAAAAGTTTAGATACTAAAACGGACTAAAACTGATAATTTAAGTACTAAATGCACAATTTACGCTTAATTTAAAATCAAACATATAAATTTACGCGCGATACATGATATCCAAATCTAGTTTTTTTAATTAACGAAATAAAGTATTTAAAAATAAGTATTATATTATCTATTGATAGAATTATTTATTTTAATTTTTTAAATTTAAGTAAAATAATATTTAATATCATTTGAATACTGTTCATAAATTTATTTCTTTTAATATTATTTTACAATAAATACATTAAGATCCATATTTAAGCATTTTTATTTAAATAATAAATAAGACTTTAAAGAGCTATTTTATCATTATTTTCATTTTAAGATTGAATTATGGTCTGAGAACATATCTATTAAAGGCCGTAGATTTTGATTTGTCCTCAACCAGAAATTTAAGCAAAGCCACGTGGACCTATAGCGATTGAGCCAGATATCACCCTCTTAGATGACCACCACGTGTCGTCTTCAATCATTTTCTTGCATTAGATTTGAGTAATGAATCTCAACGGTCCTCCTTTCTATGTGGACCATAAAAAATGGGAGAAAATGCATTGAAGGTCTTCATAATGCAATTTCCGTGGATTTAGTCATTTTAGTATAATTTAATTATTTTTATCTCTCAATTTTTTAAAAATGCTTACTTTTAATCACAATATTAACTTTTCGATCAATTTTGTCAAATAATTTGATATGATTTATTTTAAAAAACTTGTTATAATGCTACATATAAATATTGACCATTTTTGTATAATTAGAAGAAAAAAATATTGAACTAATAATCGATTGGTTCACTTAGATGAGACATTAAATTCTTTAGATAATGTTAGAGGTTCAAATCCTAACTTTATGAAGGGGATAAACTCTATAACAGGCATCTTCGATATTTGGTTCATATTAGTCAACCAATAACCCGATTTAAAAATCTTGCCTAAACCGATAAAAATGGAACCAAATCTATATTCAGTGGCGGAGCCACATGTAGTTCAGGATGGGTACGTATCTATCCGAAAATCTGAATTTTCTTTGATTAGTTCCTTATTTTACTAATGGTGAGAATTTTTACTTATTCAAAAATTTTGTATTATTAACTTATGTGTACTCACCCTAAAAAATATTTTTAGATCTGCCGTTGCCTACGATAATATTGATATGATAATAATCTAACTCTTTATTTCATACCTAATGCCTGAAACGTGAAACAGGAACAACTCCCGAAGCTCTGATTTGCTTTGCTTTGTCTTTGATATTTAATTCTTCGTTTCTTCTCTTCTCGTCAATCTTCGACTCGTAAAACTGATGTCCCCTTCTCGTTTTCTTCTCCAATTCTTTCTGCATATTTAAAAATTTTCATTTGAGTTTGATCAAATTTGATTTATACAAGATATAAGATTTGGTGCCTAATAAATTTTTCGATAAAAATAGGTATCTAAAATTTCAAACGTTACAATTTTAGTTGCTTGAACCGTAACGGGACCATTAAATTTGATCGTCATCTGACATGTATCACGCATATATGATTTCAATAATTATTTTGTTTAAAAAAATTAATATTATAATTAAAAAAACAAAAAAACCCAAATTTTACATTTTCATCGTCGGCCGACCACTGTCGGTCCGTGGTCATCACTGTTGACACCATCATAACCGTCTCGTCGTCGCGACCAAAACCCAATCCCCCATCCATCGTGAAACCGCGCTAATTGTCATGAAAAACGCTGCGAAGGGTCGTCGGATTTTTAGATTTTTTTGTTTTAAGTTTTCCAACGATTTCGACGACTACAACCATCCGTACATTACACGGCCGTCACCGTTGTGTTCCTCGTCGTGTTTTAAAAAAACCCGACTGATGGTGACCGTTCATCTTCGGAGGTGGGGCGACGGGTGGGAGAGGAATGACGAGGGGAAGGGGTTTGATTTTTTTTTAACTTTTTTTTGAAAAAAAATAAAATTCTTATTATTAAAAAAATAAAAAAATATAACGTTAGACACCTAAGATTGTAAAAAAATTCTTTATGCACTACAAAGTATTTTGATGCATAGTTTATGCAAATATTTTTGATTAAGCCATATAAGAAAATAATTAAGCTAAAAGTTGAGGGCTAACCTTTCTTCTTTCCATCTTAATTTTGGCTCGCAGCTTCTTTTCCTTCTCCCATGCAAGAATTGACGCTTTCATGCTCTCATAACTAAACTTCATCATATTCATATATATTAGTAAACATTGAAACAATCAGACTAGAGATTGAAAGGTTGGGTAATGTAATTTCCAGTTCAATCAATTTTTGCTCGTCATCGTTAATTTTAATTCGAATCGGATTAACTCGAATCTAATCTGAATCGAATTTAGATGCATTGAAAACAAGAAGTGAGTACCGTTTGTTAAGTTTGTCTAACTCAGCTCTCTCCCAAACGTCTGCTTTAGTCTCCAAAGCATTGCATTGGGTATAGTTTCCCTTCAACCTTTGGTCTCCAGCTGATGAACCACCAGCTTTTCTAGTTTCCATTGGCTTTCTGCTGCAAGATTCACCTGAAAATGAAATGAAAATAGATTCTCCAAACATTGACATATATTTTTCAAGTCCAGTTTATGTTAAGTTTTAAATATAATTATTTATAATTTAAACAATTCTCTTTAATATTTTCACTATTACCTGCAGTTCTGAGTTGGTTGCTAGAGTATAGCCTGGTAACTCTATCTGGATTTGGAACCCTGGATATGGTATCTTGGCTCGATCTCTCTATCGTCATCCTATGTCGTGCTTCATCCTTTCCGATGGAGTTGACCACGTACTGCGACTCCGGAGGCAAACTCGGTCTCATACAGCCGGACCGTATTCATGTTTTCCGGCAGAGTCGAAACACCTATATGTTTTTGAGTACGTAGGTTACTGCATGATCAATGAATTGTAACGTATGCACGTAGCGTACCTGGTTTGATTGCTGAACTTTGTGGTTATGCAGAAGCTTCGATCGCATATGCGTTTCATGTTGGGAACTGTTTGGGGTTTAAATAAGAGTTGAGATCCATTGGCCGTTGATTGGGACAAGAAGCTTGGAGATTAAGAAACTGCTTTTATTCCCATGATTTCCCTCGTGCTGATGTCTAAATGAAAGCAAAGAATCCCAGTCTCTCATGAATATTTATTACGGATATAAAATAATAATAAAATATAAATTAAAAAAAATCATGAAAAAAGAAAGAAAAAATCCCACGGCACTCGACAGACAAATCACAAAAAGATTATATAAGAGTACAATAAACCCCGTCATCCTAATTATAAATAGATAAAAAAAAAAGCTTTAGTTTGTGCCATGGACGCATACAACACCATCAATCTACCATTTTGATCGTTAAGATGGTCAAAGGGATAGTTGTTAATTTTAGAGGTCTCAAATTTAAAAATTAACTATTATGAGATATTTGATTCATCGAACGACTTAAATTACTTGATAATGAACACGATCACGATTACCAATGACCTAACCTACTAACGAGTATTTACGAGTCGAGTCGGGTTATAGTGAGTCTCTCTGTGATCCGACCTATTAACAAATAAATTTCTGATGGCCCAGCGGGTGAAGACGAAATAGTGACGCTTGGCCCAACTTCGAAAAGGTCCATTAAGAGGTTCGTCTTCTGTTCCATTCGATTTGCAGGGCGGGGGGAAAGCACAAAATCCATGATCTCAACAACGAGAAAATCCTCTTAAAAAAAATAATTAAACCCTAACCCTAAATCCGTCAAAATTCACGCAAATGCACCAATCACAGCAACAACCGCAACAATCTTCGTTCACATACCTTCCCCAATCCTCAAATCCTATCCCGAATCCTCTATTATCGTATCCTCAACCACCACCTACTCATCCCTCTCATCAACAATTTCTGTACCCTCCAGGAACCGACCCCTATGCCCATCAGCCTCACTTCGCCTTGACCCAAGATGGATTTGAAGTGAACGCTCAGTTTTATGAGGACCCAAATGGGGCCTATCAGAATTGGATCTCTGCACACGCTGATCCCATTACGTGTGATCCTAATGTTACTTCTTCTTTCCCTTTGATTTGAATTTTGGATTTTTATTTGAAACTCGTTACTTTTCGTTTGATATTTCAACTATTTGAGGTCCAGCATTGAGTTCCCCCCCCCCAACTGATAATCATTCATTTTCCGTTGAATTGATGCTTTCTGGAATTTATGTAATATATGTGTGTGTGTGATCCTTAGTATCTATAGTTGATTACATGTTAACTTGTAATGGAAAGGGTGATGTTTTGTTTCGGATTAACTACTACTACCTATGTTACTCAGACTCGGATTTTGAGTATCGTATACAGACGTATCCGTAAATGTGATGGAATTGGGCGTTAGCTACGGATATTTCAACGAAAATGAAGAATCGGAGCAATATAGATGAAATTCTGTGTCTTATATTCTAAAGTGTTTGTCTTTGATGAATATACGAATGGTGTTTGGTCATTTGGATTTTTTATGCTTCATACATTTTGGGGTTTGCAGGTAGCGGCTTTGAATTCCAACGGTTGGTTGAATCAGTCCTCGGCGAATAATTTAGTAACCGCTCCAAATCAAACCGGGCTGATCCAACCAATACGATGTGATGTTTGCAACATTGAATGCAACACAAAAGATGTTTATGACAAACACATTGCGGGAAAGAAGCATCGAAGGAACTTGCAAGAAAAGATTAGCTCCAGTATTGCCTTATTCCCCGAATCTTCCAATGCATCAATACTCGGGGATTCCGGTTTGGTGAATGCTCAAGAGTTGGAGAGGAAGAAGCAAAAACTTTTAAATTCCGGGGCAGCTGTTAACTCTGTTCGAATGTGCACCATATGCAACGTTGCTTGTAACAGCTATGAAGTGTTTGCTAAACATCTTTCCGGGAGGAGGCATGCTGCTCAGGTAACATTAATTATTAAACTACGAAATCTCGAAGTAGAGTTAAATGCCAAGTGTTTTCGATTTATTTTATGTTGTTTTAAGCTTGCATATAAGCATTATTTTCCTCGAGCCCGTTGCTGCCTGCTCATGGATACATTCTCTTAACTTTTTCCAATCCAAAACCTATTTGGTTAGCCCATTTCTTATCTTTGAAAGTTCGGTTTAAATATGATTCTTTTATGTACATGTGATCATGCAGACTGGACTAATAGCTGTTGATGGCATCGGACCTTATCTCGCTGCAGTCCGAGCTAATGATCACTTTTGGAATAAAGGCAAGAAGACAACGAAGATCGTTCAATCTTCGTGGTGTGATGTCTGCCAAATTAACTGCAACAGCAACGATGCCTATGCAAAACACGTGTCCGGAAAAAAGCACCTAAAGAACTTGGAGAATTTAGAAAAATCAAAGAATCCTTCCATGGGTACACCAGCTGGAACAAATCTGATGATTAAACCAGTAGAGAACCCAGCAGTGGCAGCACAGCCCGAAGCAGCATCAAAAGAGGATTTGGAGACTAAGAAACGGAAGGTTATGGAAGGCGGAGCGGCTGCCGCTGCAGTTAGAGTATGCACCATCTGCAACGTCGTATGCAACAGTCAAAAGGTCTTTGAATTTCATCTCAGTGGACAGAAGCATGCCGCCATGGTGAAGAAGCAAGCCGATGTCTGAATAGCAACTGCCACATAAAGCCAATGCACGCAGATTTTGTATCGGACGTTGCGGTTATTACTCGGACTTGTGTGTGGCATTCGAACCGGACCGAGTCTGTTGTCTAAATTGAACTCTTGCTGTCTGCTGTGTAAAGCGTTGGCCGTTGTCAATATAAATTGGTTGAAGTTGCATAGCCTAAGAAATTGTATAAGAGATTTACAAGGACAATGTATATGCAGCATGTAACGTTTTTTAAATTGATCCTAAACTTTTGAAAAATTTTACTAAATTATGACTCATTTTAAATTGATTTCCAAACTTTTAACATTACAATTTCATCCACAAAACTATGACTCATTCTAAATTGGTCACTAAACTTTTGAATATTATAATAACATCCCCAAAATCATTAAAAAAAATTGGGGACCAATATAGAATGAGGGTCATAGTTTGGGGGATGACATTATAATGTTCAAAAGTTTAGGAACTGATTTAGAATGAGAGTCATAGTTTGAGAATGTAATTGGAATGTTCAAAAGTTTAGAATCCAATTTAGAATAAAGGTCATAAATTTGGGATATATAATGCAATTAACTAAAAGATTTATCTTTTAGTAAGGACAATGGAGGGGGACTTAGGAGATATTTTACCTTCAATTAACTCTTTTCTATAAATGGTAAAATACACAGATGGTCGTTGATTATTAAAAGTTATAAATATATTGTTTTGTTAAATCTATCAATTATTAAAAGTTAACAAACAGTTACCCGACTATTCATATGTTTCAATTTCATTTTTTTTTTCATTAAGAATTTGACGATTGTTTGGGATAGAAGTTAACTTGTCGAATGAGATATGGTAAATTCTGATCTCAGAACCGTTTGATATGTAATTTGTGGATATGCTATTTGTTTACATTTTGTCGTCAAGACAGTATTTGAAAGTAATAACGACGTCAATAGACATCATTAAAATATGATTTTATTATATTTTAATTAATAGTTTAACGTTCAACTTAAACTATCGCTAATTTTTTTAACAAAAAATAATGAGTATAAAACATATAAATAATTAAATAATCATTTTTTAACTTTTAATAATAAAAAATTTAATAAAATATTACCTATAATATAAAACTATTTTATAATTTTTAATATTAAAGATACTCAACAAAACATCATCGACTATTATATCCTCGCGCTTGTATAAATGTATTCAATAGTCCATAAACCTTAGTAAGCGGCCAATTTTCCAAATCTCTGTTGGCAAAGGTCAACACGAAGAGACAAAGTAAAAATTATTGTATAAATATATATTTTTATACAAACGGTGGTGGCCAACTGGTCGGCGGCGGATCTCCTCTGTAGCAAATGTTTTTTAATATAGTGTCCAAAATAAAACAACCACTATAGTTTAGTGGCTAAATAGGTAGTTTACCCTTAGGAAGATGAATCATATTCCAACAACTCGAAAGAGCATACCAGTACACAGGAAGAGACCCGAAAGCAGTAACAACAACTCTCCATTCAAATCCAATCTTCTACACCTATAAACCCTCAACGGTAGGCTCCGTTTTGCCTTCCTTGTCCATTTTCTGCGCGGTGATAATTACCTTCTCAGTTTTCGTTGATTGGATTTCTGAGAATTTTGCTTCGCTAATGTTGTATTTGGACATTTTCTCAATCTGGGTTGTCATTTGCATCACTTTCTTATTTTCCTTGTTACTTTCTGCATGTTTTAATGTTTCTTTTTTATCCTTCTTTCTCTTCATCTATGGTGGTGATAAATCCTTTCAGTGTTTTCCTCGATTGGGTTTCTGAGAAAATGTGAGAACTTTACTTTATTAGTGTTGTGCTTGGATATTTTTCAATCTGGATATATCTAGTTATTTGATTCTTTTGATGTTATGGGGAGATTTCTTCATTGCTGTTTTGGATGGTTGGAAACAGATAAATTATTTTGATGGAAGGATTGGTGGGTTCACGAATCATTCCGATTCGAGCTTCATATAGACGGCATTACTCTGCTTTTCTCCCTACATTTTCCTTGCACTTAAGGAAAAACTTGAATCAGGTTCAAGTTTGGATGATGGAACGTCCTAAGTCATTGGATCCGATTGCCGCTTCAATTCAACCGTTAGAACCCTCAACTTCTGGCCACATTGATAATAAGCAGCCTTCCAAAGGTTCTTGTCCTATATATTTCAAGTGGTTGGCTTCATATATTGCTTTAATTGAGTTGCCCAAAAATATTGGATGAAAACAAGAAAGGGGTTTAATTTTAAAGTTAGAATTCTTCGACTTTCTTTTTTCTAAAGTATTCGTGTCCATCACTTTGTTTAACATATGAATAAGCAAAATATATAGAAAAACTTGGGGAACTCTGATAATACTCATATCAGACACACACTATTCGATAGTCACATCCAAGTTTGAGTAATATAGATTAACTTTTCTGTGTCTTGTGATAGTAATTATGGTTTCCTTTATTGATACTCTCCTTTATTACATTCCAGAGGTTCTTGAGCAGTGGAGAAGTGCTGATGCAGTTTGCTTTGATGTGGATAGCACGGTATGCGTAGATGAGGGCATTGATGAACTTGCAGAATTTTGCGGGGCTGGAAAGGCTGTTGCAGAATGGACTGCCAGGTTCTCCTCCCACATTATTGAATTACTTCAATTCCTTCGATGTTATGGATCATAGGTGGTTGATTCTTCTTTTCTTTTTATTCTTTTTGGTAGAGCGATGGGTGGTTCTGTTCCTTTCGAGGAGGCCTTATCTGCCCGATTATCTTTATTCAAACCCTCTCTATCTCAAGTCCAGGATTATCTCGACAAAAGGCCCCCAAGGTACGAGACTCATACTTCACTGGCTTGATTATATCTTGATATGTTCATATGATCACAATGCTTCTCGGTTATGGATAGTTAGTGGTGTTAGATTAGTACGTTGTGCTTATGAGCCATAATTTGAATTAACCTTGCAATTTTTGTGCTGCTATGTTCAATATTTGCTTTAAATATCATGATATCTTGTTATATTATGTTTTAGTTGTAATGCTTGCCTTGTTACTTAATGCACGCGATGTTTCATTTGGGTCCATTATTTTAATGCTGCTACATTATAATTAGCAAAATCCCAGAGCTCATAACCATTTGTCTCTAAAATTCCAGGGCATCGACTTCACAATGAATTAACCATTTTTTATTTGTGTTTTCCATATTTTGTCTTTTATTCAACATGATGATTTAAGGGTTTAGTTCATGATTCTTATTGATCTGTAGGATTTCTCCCGACATAGAAGAACTAGTCAAGAAGCTGAAGTTTAGGAATACAGATGTTTATCTAATTTCTGGGGGCTTCCGTCAAATGATCAATGTATGAAACTATGCTTCTAAATGCTTGAAAGGCTATCTATGTTGTACTTCCTTCTGTTAAAGGCATTCATATGGTTTAATTTTATGTTTTTATGAATTTATATCTGAAATCACTTGCAATATTCCGATGGTATTGCAAATGAAAACTAAAACTAAGAACCTGAACATTAGGTCCTATGATCTTTGGAAAACAGTAAAATAATTAGATGTCGCAAATGATGCGGGGAAATGAACGAGTCTTTGTTTTGCAACCAAACAATGTAGTATCCTATGATCTGTTTTATCAGTTTAGAGTCATTATACAGCATGTAGGTTCCTTACTATTGAAAGAGCCATGTTAATTGTTATTAAATATAATCTGTGATAGTTAATTGAGAAACTCTTTCGTAGCCTGTTGCATCAATCCTCGGAATTCCACAAGAAAACATTTTTGCCAATCAGCTGCTCTTTGGAAGTTCTGGGGAGTTTCTGGGATTTGATGCTAAGGAGCCTACTTCGAGGAGTGGAGGAAAAGCTACTGCTGTTCAACAAATAAGAAAGGTGAGTTTTGTTGCTGTTTTCTGTATCTGTATCGGCTGGCTAAAAGTTCCATATCTGAGCCTGACTAAGAAACTTTCCAGGTTAAGGGATACAAAGCATTGGTCATGATCGGTGATGGTGCTACTGATCTCGAGGTTAGCAAATTCATCTGAACTTTCTCTTTATAGATTTAATCTTGAAGGTTACTATATAAAATAATTCCTCCTTCAATGCATTGAGAATCAATATGTTAACTGTCGACTATTGCATTTAATATAAGAATATCGCTATAAACAGAATGTTAACGAACCTTAAAGACTCCCCCAGGCACAGCTATCAATAAAATCCATCTTTATGCATGGGTTGGGGGAAGTTCATAGTTCCTTCTTTATTCATGCATGTTTAAGAGCAAGATCACTTCTTTTCAACATGCTTTAACAACTATATCAATTGCGTCAAAAATATCTTGTTGTTTGTTTGAGAGAGTGACGGTGAGGGTGTCTCTGAAAAATCTCGAGTTCATAATCTATTCAGGGTGTCTCAGAAGAATCCCGAGTTCATTGTCTATTCATTGATTTTATATTGTTGAGCACTAAGGGAGATTTCCGGATGTTTTTGTAACTAAATCCCTTCATTATATTCGAGCAGCATTTTGCTTTTTCAATGTGATTTTTCTAATTTGATTTTATCTTCGGTTTGCAACCTAGGCCCGTAAACCAGGAGGTGCCGACTTGTTTATTTGTTATGCCGGTGTTCAACTGCGGGAACCCGTTGCGGCGAAAGCTGATTGGCTGGTCTTCAACTTCACTGATCTTATAAATGCCTTGGAGTAACTTTCTGATTTACACGCCTTTTGTTTTTTCCGTTTTCACGTACAAGTTTCCTCCAAGTGAGCTTTAAGCATTCGTTTATGGTGTTCGTGTGTGTGTCGGATACGAGTACCTGTTCAAGATTAGTATATTCAACTGTTTCCAAGTTTTTCTATGTATTCGGAAGGCGTGTTTCGTAGCCGAATACATCGAACGAGTGTGCGAAAATACGAAGACTTTAAAACAAAATTATTGAATGAAAAGAGAAGTTGGAGCAACACAGTACATGAATTTAGCTTATGGACATGAATTGTATGAGATTTTTGTATGAATGATATTTTATAGCTAAATTGTTACAAAGGCCCCTCAACTTTGCCATTGTATTTAAAATAGCCCTTTGTACTTTTGTAAACCTAATTACCCAAGGTTCTTACTTTAATTTGTATCTAAATAGGCCTTCAATCTTCAAAGTGCATTTAAATAAGTTTCTCAACTGTTACTTTATACCTCAGTAAGCACACTTTCGATTTAAAAAGTAAAATTTACGTTTTTTCATTCAATTTGTCAACTTTTAAAAGTACAGGGACTAATGGTATATTTTAACTAAAACACAAGTCTAAAGATCTTAATGTCTTGACAATAAATTATCGTTCGATGCTTCATTTTAACGAGAATATTTGATTTAATTAATACGATTAGAATAGCACTTAACATAGAGTAATTATTTGCATTAACATTGCTTAAATGCTATGTTGTCAGTGTGTAAAATTTCTTTCTTTACATTTATTTTTATAATATACGATAATATCTAATTATAAATTTATATAATTATTCTAGAAATCGATTTTGATTTTATACTTTAAAATATAAAAGATAAACAAATTAGGGAAATTTATTTAAAATCATTTTTCCAATTAAGTATGGTAGGAATTATGGATTTGTTTTGGAAGTCAATATTACCTTGAATAACCATTTTGTAAGTTTTTGAATTTACGTGACTAAAATTAAAATTATTAATAGATTGATGACCATTTTACGTAGTTTACCCTAATATTTATTTTATTTATTGAAAAACCCTATGTTTTTAGTGTAAAGAAAAAAGCTAAAAAAAATTACTTTGATACAACAAGGGGTGCAGGTGAGTGAATGTAGCTTTGTTTAGATAACAGAGCGGCAAAGGGCTCTTCTTCTTCCAGGGAAAGATTCAACAACGAGAAATACATCTTCCTTTTAAACTTGGGTCTGCTAGATTTTGCTTCAATACTCAATCTGATCCTCAAAGAACACGAAAAGAAAAGAGGTAAATACCATTTCTTTTTGGTCCATTTTAGGTGCGAATTGTTTCTTCTGCAGTTCTTAGATTGTTTTCAAATGGGTAAAGCTTGGATTTTTACATCGTTCTCGGAACTGTGTGTTTCTTTGGAGGTTGTTTTTGTTGACGTTTAAGTTGTTTGTCTTAAGAAATGGGATTTCGTTCATTTATGGCTTTGCTTGTTATTTGCTTCCAGTTAAATGAATTTGGGTTTCTTGACAGTTAGTTAGGCTTCTTGTGTTTATGATGTAGTGTTCGATTGCCTGGAAATTAATAGTTTGAATAAGCTGATATTTGTTTGTGGTTTCAGGCATCTTAGCTTTGCACGTTGCGTTGTGTTTCATGAGAACTTGGATTCAGGAAGACAAAGGAGAAAATCTGCTTCAGTTGATTCAGGTGTCAGATTTGTAATTCAAGAAGGTTTTGATGTTTTGGTCTCTAGTTAGTTAATTGTTGTATTCGAGTGCTAAAGGCTGTATAGCCTGTGAGACCATGTTGAGCTTCATGGAAATTGTTGCTTTGAGGTTTTGGATGTCGAGGATTGATATAGAGGTCAACTTTTGTGGTGTCAAGCTCGGGTAGTTTTTGAAATTTTCATGCACGAGCACTCGAGCAGAAATGGATTTGTGGTTTGTTGCAGCTGCTGCTGCTGCTGGATATTTGGTTAAATTTTGGCAAAATCTTACGACCGATAGAAATGGATTTCCCGAGGCTTCTGCCGATTCCGGAATTGGGAAGGTTGTACCCGGGAAAGATCCGGTCCACAAATTTGCTATGATAAGGAAAATGTGGAACGATGTTTCCCCGGATGGAAGAGAGTTTTTGGATAGCAAAATTTCAGATATTTACAAACTAAATGTGGCTTCAGCTGCTGAAATGGATTCTGCTAGTGGTTTCGATAGTGAAAAGATGGGGAGTTCAGCACATCCAATAGATCACAATGAGATTTCTCGATCAGGTTTATCACCAGGATCGTTGACAAATGAAAACCTAAGAGAAGATCGATTTGGAAAAGAGCCAGGTGCCGATAGCGGTAGTGATTCTGCTACTATCACTAGAATAGACTCTTTTAACGAGTCTATGCGGAAAAGAAGCTCTCTTAAAACTAAACATTCATATGGGCATGTACTTAAACCGCTAAGCTCCTTAGATAGTTGCCTCATGGCTCAACTACATATGCAACATGTCAAAATGGAGGAGTACGTGCTTAGTTCCGTTCCGTCACCTGCAACACAGATCTTGAGACCTTTGCTGATAACCGATGGAAGCCGAGTAATCAACAGAGTAAGTGGTGATTTTTCTAATGGATCAAATAAAATTGAGGACAATAAGCTGCAAAACCAGGCCACCTTTGAAAAGAACGGATGTGTGTATGCAATTCCTCCATTGCGAAAATTCGGTTCGCCAGATCTCCTTGAGAAGTTGAAACGTAAGAGTGGAAATGATCGTGATGGAAGGCCAAACATTTCTTGCAAAATTGCTTCCGAAAAGCAGTTTCATTCACATTGGGGTAATTCTCTTACATTGTTTTTTCAATTTTTCTTCTACTATTTATATCGATACTATAAGAATCTGTTACTTATTACCGAATGCTGCTTTTCAATTTCGAAATTTGTTACCTTGCAAAATGTGTTGGAAACTGAGAGAAGTAAATGAAAAATATGTATACCGTAGCGTAGATAAAAAGTAAAAGCATGTTACCATCACATTTTGGGATATGAACACGGTTGCAGTGAAATCTCGAGTGTCACTGTTCCTTTCTTTTCTTTTGTCATTGTTTTCTGGCAGTGGAGGTGGGAAAAGCTTATTAGGGTGGTAAAATGTTTTACTGATTTGTTGGACCTCTCGGAGTACCATGAAGAAAGGGAATAAACCGTAGAATTTATTACCTTTTCTCCTTCATTATAATGAACTAAATTGCATCAGAAACAGTTTCTTATAAGTTACTCGGACTTGGGAGCGAGTATTAGATAATGATATGTGTTTGCTATAAGTGCTTTTTATTTTTTCTGAAGTTTTACCTTATAAGTGGAGGGTTGTTCCATCGGAAATTTCTAGGATATGTGTTCTTGGAGAAAAATGAAGTCTCGGTAGGATGTTTAAGCCTGCTGAACCATTTATTTGTTTTGGCATCGTATAAGTTCTTTTCAGAGATGAGCTTAAGCAAGTCTTTCAGTCGCTTGTTATCTTCGATGCATTTGTTTTAACTCTGTATTCCATTCATTGCACTTATAATTTTTCTCCTATAATCTAATCAATTGCATAGCCTAACCCTTTTATACGAAACAGGTCGTTATGATCGAGTGGTTCAGTTTTGTCTCGGGATTTCTATCGGAACAATATGTTCTTATTTAGGAAATAGAAGGGAAGTTGAGAAATTGAGAGGATTGTTAAAGCAGGCTGAGAACTTGGTTCAAGATCTTCAAGAGGAGCTCGAAATGAAAGATTCATTGACGGTGAAGGAGCTAGTCAATGAGAATTATGAATCAGAAGAAACATATCACAATTCCTTTACCGACGGGGAAACGAATTTGTCTTCCCTTGAACGTAATACAGATAATTTAACAAGGTTCAATGGTGAAGCATCATATCATCAAAAGGTAGAGGAAAGTGAGGAATCTATGAGTAAAATCGAAGCTGAACTTGAAGCCGAACTTGAGAGGTTGGGGCTAAACATGGATGTATCAAATCATGAGCGTAGACTGCCCGATCTCGTCGAGGTAAGCTTGTGTTTACCTTAGCATTTCCATGGAGCTTTACAGATGTTTTAATGAATTCATTTTATTGATAGCATTTGTGTCACCTGGTCTCGTATGGCATTTTCTCATTTTATTCAATGAATTTATTTATTTATTATAAGAATTGGAGGTCTCATTAAAAACCTTCTTCATAATTGTCGAAGCCTTAAAGGTATTCAGCAAAAAGCGGAAGGAGGAAAAGAGTACCTCATAGTTTTATTAATGAAAGGGTAAAATTCACCCCAAGCTTACAAACACCAATTATAGAACCTCATCTACCATACCCATAACAAAACAAAATACAACAATCAACTCCCCTACAGTCACCCTATCCCCTTTTTAGCTAGTTCATCCGCATCCCTATTTGCACTCCTATTAACAACCCTTAGGAGGATCTCGTCCCTACTAACTACCGAGGCGATCTCCTTATAAAAAGGACACTGAAAAAACACCCGTTAGATATGGATAAAAGAGAGAGACCAGCTCTGATAGCCTTCAGTTCAGCCAACGCCGGGGGACCTGGTCCAATGGATTCCGAGAAAGATTCATTTACCTGGCCACTAAAATTCCTCACCAAACCCCCAATACCACCTGTACTCCAATCCCTCTTCACAGCCCCATCCACATTCAACTTGAGGAAACCAACAGGGGGAGGGGACCAAGACCGTAACGCCGATAAGGTCGGAGAAAACGTCCTCAAAACAGTGCATGAATCTGCCAAAGATGGATCTCCAATCAAGGAATCAAACGGAATCATAGAATGAGGGTGTTAAGCTGAAAACCAAGATGCAAGACGAAATCTAGATAGGAAAAGTAGGGACCTTGTACTATAAGTTGAAAAGCAAATAAGTTACCTATGGGACCTTTTATACGAACATATTATTCCGATAAAATAAGATCAAAACTAAATGTACAGGGACTATCTTGTATTTTGATGGCAATCTTCAATAAGCTGGGACCTTGTATTTCCTATATACGAACATATTCTTGAAGATTGCCATCAAAATAAGTTAAACTACCTATGGGACCTTGTACTATAAGTTGAAAAGCAAATTAGTCACTTTCACCATAAAAGTGAGCAATTTAGTCCCTGTACATTTAGTTTTGAAGTAGAGGTGAAATTTGGCCCTTTACTCTAAAAGCGAGCAATATAAGGGTTTTTCTCTCTCTTTATTATGTAGTGTGCAAAAATGGTACACTTTTCAACTATGTTACTCAAATTTGGGAGTGATACGTTCGAATGTGTCAAACACGAGTACGTTAGAAAAAAAAGGTCTGAGCAACTTAAATTTTCTTTGTATGAATATGATTCCACTTGGCTGTTTGCTTCTATAATTTTTTGTGTTAACCTTCCTGCTAGCTCGTTTGAACCAGATATACTAATAATACAGCTTAAAATTCATGCAGATCGACCCAGATTTTGTAGCAGATTTTGCTGAAGGTGAATTGAGATCTGATATGGTCACCGGACATCCTCTTGTTCAATCTATATCTAATGAAGATAGAAGCGGCACCTCAACTACTCATTCTGCAAATTACGCCGTCTCTCCCCGAGAGTTGAGCTTGCGTTTGCATGAGGTGATTCAGTCAAGGCTTAAAGAACGAGTACAAGAACTTGAGACAGCCCTCGAGAACAGCCAGAGGAAGGTGAAGCTAATGGAATCAAAGCATAAGAATCCTAATAACAAATGGAAATACTCGACAGCACTGGAGACTCCACCAATAAATGAAGATCTCCATTGCACGTCAAAGCCTCAAGTCCCGAAATTATCATGGGAAACTCCAGATCATGCATACAATGAGGCTTATGAAGAGGTGACAAAAGTGGGTACACCATTTCGTATTTATCGGAATAATCATCAAGAAAAGCTGCCTTGGAGTGACCAATACGATACAAACAGATCCGATGGAACATTTTATGATCAGGTAAGAACATCGGAAGATCAAACTTCAAGGGTCCAGGAACTACTTGATGTGAGTGTGAGTGAAGATGAATGTAGTGATAATGATGATGAAATGGAGAAGCTATTGATACAGCAAATTGTGGAGAAAACCAAGAAAGGAACTCCTGTATTGCTAAATGCACAGAGAATATTGTTTTCCATGAATGAAATTTAACTTTTGAGAATCATATTGAAATCGAGAGACCGAAATTCTTGCAGTTTATACATATAGGACTTGTATTCTTTACTACAGCAATTTACACTTCGACATTTTGATTCTAAGTTCCGAACTAATACTCTTCAAACAAGGATTTTCACAAAACTATAGTTCAACACAATCTATTCGGGTGTTACTCGGAATCGAGTGTGTATCGAATATGTGCAGAAATGAAGCTTAAATAGAAATGAAGAGTCGGAACAACATACGGAACAATTTCCCTAACTTTTCCCTCAGATTTCGACCTCCTTAGTACTAAACCGAATAAGTTCATGGATAATAAAATAAGAAAAAACAATATGAACCCTAATGAATGCTTCTATAGTTGCTACTTAGTTCCCCACCTCAGTACTAAATTAGGGTTTCTCCTAAGTAAACAGAAAATTCATTTCATTTTTTTTCTTTGCAAAATATAATTAGATACCTCTTTCAAGGTTTCAACTTCACTGATAGATAAACAGAGTTCAACAAAACATTTTGCACCAACAGCATCAATGTAATGCCCAAACCAGCTACAATGGCAAGATAACATGCATACACCGTCATAAAATCATACATCGCTGCCCTACCGACTAACACCCTGTAGAAGATGAAATCCCCCAGTCCAAGCTTGATAGCACCGGATGAACCTAACCCCATACCTTCTAGCATCAAGCTTTCAGCTGACATACCGAGATCAATCAACGGCGCCCAAAGCTCAGCATCCCTTTCCCATACCTGCCCCTCTTCCACGCTGGCCATTCTTGTACCACTATGACTGGCTTGAACAACATTAACAGTAGAATTCAAATCAGAAACAACATTAACATTTCTCCTCCGAATCTAGCCTAAAGTTTTGCCTTCCTCTCCAAATCCGTCTTTGAACAGGACCCGAAGCAGGGTCATGATGCGTAACCGGCCTAGCCTCATAAACCAAGGCCGGGATATCTTCATCCCTTGACATAGCAAGCTCTACAAGGAGCCTTAAAGGTCCAACAGGCAATAGAACAGCAGCAAGATCATACAATGCCAAGGCAACCAACACCACCCAAGTAGTCCATTCAGGCAAAAGAGTACACCAATAAGCAACCAACATTCCAATTAGAACCAAGTACCCTTGTGTCACAATAATCGCCACTTTTCACATAAAAACAGCCAAAACACCAATAACAGCAAAATTAAACAAAAGCACCAAAAAGGTAACGCCATCAAAGGGGACACTGAATTTTTCAATTAAAAACAAGACAATCTCACCACCCATGAATCCCAAAACAACGAAAGAAGAAAACTCCATATAGATTTTCAAGAACTTAGTGCATCTGAGGTAAAAAAAAAAAAAAAGAGGACCAAAATGAAGGTAGCAACAGTGACAACAGCAACAAATGCTAAGGAATTCAAAAGGGCACCTAGGAATTTGTGCCAGGATGAATCGGAGCTGGTTTCTGAGTAAGCAATGGTTGCGATTGAAGTGACGGAAAGTGAAGAGCTTGAGTTGAGAATTGGGACCAAAAGGACGACTAGAAACATGCAGATTGAAACAGGGGTTAGGATTCTGATGATTTCCTGGCCTAAGGAATCAAGGAGGGTTTTGGGCCATTAGGGTGCTCAAATTTGGGATAAAGTTTGAATCTTGATGGAGTTTCTTCTATGATTTCTCGATTCTCCAGGTTTTTTTGTTACTAAAGCTTGCTGAGATTTTGCGGCTGGGCAAAGTTCTATTGATCAGGGATGGAGGAATTGGATTGTGAACCCTCGATTATTACTGCGGTGCTGAAATTTCACACATATTTTATTAAATTTTAAAATTCTTAAATTAATTATTTAATTTTTTTTTAAAAAAAAATAAAATTTTCTAGTCACTCCTTGTCTCTCTAATTTTACAATAGCATAACCTACCATAAAAGTGTCAAAAAAACATTTATTAGTAGTATTTTTTTTTATAATTTTTTATTAAATCAAATTAGGGTAAACTACGTATTTAATATCTAAACTAATCATTTTAGTTTGTTTTACTATTAAACTTTTAATTTTTTTTAAAATCATATCTAACATTTAGTTTTTGTTTCATTTTAGTATCCTACCGTTAAAAATTTAACGCGTTTAGTATATAAACTATTAATTTTGATCCGTTTTAGCACCTAAATTTTAATTTTTTCAAAACTTAAAATTAAATTTTGAACAGACTAAAATTGATAATTTAAATGCTAAACGTGTAATTTATCTATTAGATTATTCACCGATTACCTTTCGCCGCGTATCGTCCACATTCCTCTACCTAGCATCCCTAAATAACCATTAATCAAATTGGTTATATCCATAGAATTGGCTTGTGATAAGCATTTTAATATCGCTTAAACAACGTCTTCAAGTTGAATTATTGTGTATACAAAAAATTTTCTACTAGAAGACTCGTACAAAATCAAATGTGTGATACGGATCGATTTGAATTAACCAAAGCAAAATCTAAAAACCGAGAGGACAATAAAAAATACACATAAATTGGGCTACATAGCATATGTAACTAAATTAAAATTTTATGTTTATCCATACATAGTTATTAGTCTAAATGTCACATCACTAAAGATTCTAAACTAAACTCTCGACTAATATCAGTTAGTAATTAATATAACAGTAATTTATTCGAACTCAAAATTATTCCTTTCCACGAAAGAGAGATTCAAGAAAGTAAAAGAAAGTTTTACAAAGACCAAAAAGTCACATAATTTTATCGAATAAAAATAAGTTTCCAAGAAAGCAACGGCCATAACTAAATAACCAAACAATTTACTGCTACTTGAAACCGACTTGCTTCATGCCCTTTTGGCGAAATCACTTCCGTTCTCATCATTGTCGTCCCGGAAGTTCTCGTTCATTGGCTCGTTCGAGTCGTCTCCTCCCTCCTTGAAGCCATCTTCAGCACTACCGAATTGATCACCGCTATCAAATCCCGTATTCTGACTTCCATATCCAGCAGGACCACCGGTGGCAACGTCAGCATTGAAGTTCCCACCATCGAAATTGGTTGCAGCAGATTGATCGAAACCACCATAATTTCCTTGGCCTCCATAATTACCACCACCACCAAATCCAGCATTACCTCCATAATTTCCAGATGAGGGACTGGCATTTCTATTGTAGCCATCACCACCTCCATAATTACCACCACCATATCCACCACCATATCCACCACCACCACCATAGCCACCACCGCCATAGCCACCACCTCCAAAGTTACGAGGAGGTCTCTCAGCTGCATAGTTCACTCTTACTTGGCGGCCATGGAGAACCTACAAGAAGAAAGACAACCAAAAAATCCCACAAATTACTACAGCAGATAAAAGAACCAATGCTGCTATGTTAAGCATCTGCAAAATCAAACAGGGTTGGCAAAGATAAAACTACTGTTTTCACCCTTATCTATATCAGAGAGATTAACCAAGAATATTATGATGATAAAACATCTGCATGCCAAATCAATTACTTATATACACATGCAAATAAAGGCCTACATAACATATTTTTTTTCAAGTAATGAAAATTATTCGTATGTTGAGGCGATTGAGAAAATTAATGTGGATCTTGTACTTCATATTAAGAATTACTAGCAGACATGAAAGGGATCCCAATAAGTTGCCAAGGAAAAACGAGTTATAACATGAAGATTGAGGCCCTGACAGAGCAGAAGAGATTACCGTGTTTCCAGATGCTGATAGTGAACTTGAGTAGCATATACTAACATAAAATTAATTTGCCATGCAATTTGCAATTCATACAATGCAAAAGCTTTTACGATAGTTCCAGCAACATAAGAAGAGAAGACCCAATAGAATTACAATACAGAAATTGCATGCATCATATTCTGATTTTGATCTCTTCGTACAAAGATTTAACCATATATACTCGATTACTCGTCATAAAATACATTAGCATCCTATGAAGTTTACTTAAACAACAGAAACCAGCAGATATTCCAAGACCGCCAATATGAAAGGAATAAGCAAATCCTTCAAAGTTCAAAGTTCAAACAATAGATACTCAGATGCCTTATATTACCTGTCCATCCAAGGCCTGTATTGCGCTGTAAGCATCCTCGGTACTGGTGTACGTGACGAAGCCAAATCCTCTAGACCTGCCCGTTTCTCGGTCCACGATTACTCTTGCTACAATAAATATCAAATTAATCAGTTCAACTGTTTTACAAATATAAAAGCAGTGGACATTAAACAAACTTGACTGCAAACTCAAAGTTAGTACACCATAAGCACAAGTCCACACAAACTAGAAGTTAAAAACATTCGTTCATTTTGAAAACATGTCAAAGGTGGCATCTAAATCTTCATGGGACATGCCATTATACTCAAAACATGAACTGACATGACACACTCGACATGTAGAGTAAAATATTTAATCATCCCAAGATACTTCCAAATCCCTTTCATAGTGGCAGTTACAAATTGAAATAAACAAATACATTCACCGCAGCATACCTTCAACAACTTCACCATATTGGCTGAAAGCGTCTCTCAGACCTTGGTCATCAGTTTGGTATGAAATACCTGCAATAAAAGAAAATTAACAAGAAACCTACAAAAAAACAGGTAACAGAAAACAGTTTGCTCCTAAAGTATAAACGAAAGCTGGATGCACACCTCCGACAAAAACTTTCGAGCTCGGGGAGTCTGACATGCACCGGAACACTTGAAAAAGACCGGGCCTTGAAGAAGACAACTGAGAATTGATCTGTGTAGTCGATGCCTGCCTAAACATATTCCCAATTTTACTTAAGAAAGCCATTGTTACAACCTACAAAGAAAACAAAAAATTTGAACTTCACTTTCAGCAAATGAAACAGAAAAAACAGTAACAACAAAAACAGTGAAAATATCTACAGTAAAAGAAACAAACATAGTAACCTATTTTACATGATTTGAACTTTCATCCGCATTGATCTCGTATCTTTACCACTCTCAAAACCCTAACCCACAATACCCCAAATTTCTATTTTCTTTTTCATGCTCAAATGGCACAAAACCAAGCAAGAAAAGAACAAAACAACAGTTAAATATCGATTTTCAATCATCTCCCAAGAAACCCAATCCTCCATGATCTTAAGCAACAAAACAGAAAAACAAAAACAACCCAAGCAGATGATTACATAATAACACGAAATACCCAAACAGAAATCCAATACAACGAAAAGTTAGGGAAAAGATTAAAACGATACAGCAATGAAGAGAAACCCTTTCAAATGAAAAAAGATGAACAGCCAGATGAACAGATCAACGTGAGAAACGAAAAAACTAGAGAAATTTGAAAATAAAGCTTATGATTCTTTACGAAGCATAACCTTCTGATTACGGAACTGAACTACCGGGAGAATTGTATCTCTGAGAAAAAACCCTCGGGGTTTATGTAGACGGTGCGGCGTTCAGATATTTTAGCTGAAAATTTCTTTTACACGTGTGAATTTTTTATTGGGTTGTCTTTTTCAGGTCGGGAAAACTCGGAAAATATTTGATTTTTTAGTTAACAAATATTACATATATAATGTTTATAGAGAAGAAAAATTACAAATGATAAGAACATATGATTATGATTCGTTATTGCAAGATGTTAAAATATAAATACTCTTTTTTATTGTGACCTAGATTTTTATAACATCCACATTCTTTGAATAGGACTCAGCGTTCGATCGAGTATACTCAAAAAATTTTAAGTTATTCTAGTTGACGAGTCTTATTTTATATCTCGGAGTTGACTTGAAATTTTTTTGAGTCAGCCGAGTTCATAAAATTCGAGTCGAGTCAAATTTTTAAATTTCTATTTAAATTTAATTGTAAATATTTATAATATTATGACATTATTTGGTTCTAATTTAAATGTTATTTTATAACCATTGTAACATATATATTTTTCGTATTTGTTTCATATGTAATTTGCATATACCTTACAAAGTCGAGGGACTCGACTTAAACTTGAAGATCAATCTACTAATCACTAAAAATTTCGAGTTATTCGAGTTGTATTTTACAACTCAATTTGAACTTAAATTTTTTTTCGAGTCGAGTGTTTGAAATTACAACTCGAAGTCAATTCGAGTAGAGTAAAAAAAAATTGGTTTTTCGAGTTGAGTCAAGTTTTGCTCACCCGTTTTTGAAGATGAAATTAAAAGATTCAAAAGTTGAAGGACCAATTTAAAATGAGAGTTATAATTTAGGTTGAAATTGAAATATTCAAAAGTTAAAAAATAATTTAAAAATGAATATAATTGTAACTTCCTAAAATCAGTGTAAGTGACTAAATTATAAATTTTGAAAACTATGTGCTCAATTTTGAATCAAGTTAAAAGTTCAATGACTTAAATAAGAATAATTCCTTATTGGATTAGATGATAATTATGAAAATATTGAAGGGTATAATAGTAATTTCACAAGGAAGATTTTTTTCCTCCTTTACATAGGAGATAACACGTGGAAATGAAGGGAGACAAGGTTCTAGTTCCAGAGTTCTCTTCTTCTCATTTCTTCTTCACGTGTGGAAGCCAAGAGCAAAGGTAAGATTTTTTGTTGGTTAATATTTAACTGAATTTAAGATTGTGTTATGATCATTAGATGATAACTAAGCTTAAGGAAAGCTTAGATTATCTTAAAACAATAAGATGAGGAGTACATGAAGAATTAAAGAAATGAAGTAGAAAAGTGAAATCTTGGATTAGAGTTCATAATAAGAATTGTAAGTGGGATTTGACTTGTTATCAAGCTAATTAAGGAATAGGAAGTGTTAGAATTAAAATTGGAACATGTTGGAATTTGAGTGAGATTCTTAAATTCCATATGGAGAATTGGATTTCTAAGTTTTAGAAGTATTGAATGGATAATAATTAGTTTAAGTAAGTGTATGCAAGTTAGGGATATAAATGAGGTGAAATATAAAGTGTTGAGAGGATTATAAAGAGATTCTCGTGCTAAAATAACATTTCTGGGCTATGTGCATCGATGCACATTCAATGTGCACCGATGCATCAAGGATAAATCCCAGAAATTTTTCAAGGTGTATCGATGCACATAAAGTGCATCGATGCACTCTTTTAAAATACAAACATCGAATGCCATTAATGCATTGATGCATAAGGAGTGCATCGATGCACTCCCTTAAATGTAAACATCGAATAAGATTTATGCATCGATGCAGGTTGTGGTGCATCGATGCATACCTTCATTAAAAGATGAAAATGGCTTTTCTTTTAGCCCAAGGAATGATAGTTTAGAATATATTAATTAGTATACTGATATATATCAATATATTACTATGTAGATTCAGAGCTTAAACGAGTTCCGGAATCATTGACAAGTAAGATTGATCTAGGGGAAAGATAAGAGATTGATATTGACTAGTGAGGCCAGGTGAGTGCATACTATTGATATATAGTGTTGAATGGAAATAAGACTTGCGATGAGTCTATTTCCTAGAGTAATATGCATGAAGTCATGAACATGATTATGTGTTTGTCATAATTATATGTGATTATATGTATTATATTAATTGTATGTATGCATGACTAAAGATATTGATATGCTTTGTACATGCTATATGATTTGTGTACAACACTATTATGTAATAATGGAAGAACATGAAATAAGTTCTATGATAAAGACATAAAGAATGAAATGAACATGTGACATAAGCTACAAGTTAATGAATCATTGATATATGTGTGGGGGGGACATAAGAAAATCAAGTATAAGTCATATTATATGGTATAAGTGATTACACAAGAAATGTTAAGAGACTCGATGATGATAGTATAAATTCGAGGGTATATGCATAAATAAGGATACATAAGTTATATAGGGAAGATTTATATAGTTAAAGAAAACTATGGTTTATGAATTATGTAAGTAAAAGGGGAAGTGAGATAAGATAAGTAGAAATTATTTATAGGATAAATGAGATTATTTGAACATGTATTATAACTTTATAAAGGATGACTTAGGCTAAATCATTATATGATATAAATATAGGGCATTACTATGTAAATTATATTAAAGAGACATGTTTACACGATTACAAGATATGATACAGGACATTAGATATATGAAAGAGAAAGTATATGTGATATGAGAATTAACATGAACTACGTGATTACATGTATATGTGAATGAAGCTACGAGTTTATATGAATATGTGATATGTTTACATGAATACGAAAAAGGATATAAAAGATAATGCCCATGATATGTGTCATGAGAGCTAGGGGTATAGTTGGCATACCAAGAGTTGAGGGTTTACACGGTCCTTCGGGATATATATCTATTCTTTGGAACATGTATGAGGTCTCTGAGATACATATTTGGTCCTTAGCATATGTATATGATTCTTAAGGAATTTTCTACGTGGTCCTTAGGGACATCTTATATGGCACTTTGGTGCATTTCTACGCAGCACTTAGGTGCAATTCTACGTGGCACTTTGGTGCATTTATACGAGTTGTGGTAACAGCATTAGTGCACAGCCTCTATAGACTCGCATATTTATAGTTCTCACATGTGTACATGGGCTAATAAAGAAGATGATATAAAAGAACCTTGTATGATATTGTGTGCTTTGTTTGTAATCTTTATGGTGTGAAATGATATATGTGATATGATGAGATGTGTATATAGCTTGGTTAAGAAAAATAGGTACAAAACATATAACTAAAAGATAAGAAATGAAAATAAGACTATTAAAAAGATACTGAGAAATTTATTACATACGCTTTATATGCTTTGTGATAGGAAATATGTTAATAGAATTATATGATGATATGTATATTTCTTTGTGGAACAATATGTATGTATATGATATGCAAAATGCAATAAGTATATATATATATATATATATGTAAATTTATGTTTTGATGCATTTTATGGTTTATCATGATTACATGAAATGTGCATAATAGAAATTAGTTATGATATGTTATAGTCAGTTTGTTTACGCCTCACTAAGTCATCGACTTAGCGTGTGATTGTTTCACACGTAGGTTAAAGAAGCGAGAAGAGAAACGAAGAAGAGCAAAACAGGTTAGCAACTCCCTTACAAAATTTCAGATAAGAAAATAGATGATTTAAAGGTGTTTGGTTAATTTGATTATAGTTGACATGTACTAAATGATTGAGTTAAATATGCTCTGATCGATTTTGGTTATGGTGGTCAGTTTATGTAAATAAAACGCTATTATTTTAATGAAAGTTTTAAATTTTCTTTGAATTTTGTCAATAGTCAAAGTTTGAAAAGTCAATGTGACACCTCAGACTCGTATTCGGGTCGGGTACGGGTTGGGGGTGTTACAATAATCTAGAGATAAAATTAAAATTTAAAAGTTTGAAGATCAATTTAAAATGAAAATCATTTAACGACCTATATTCAATTATCGATACGCATCAGTTCCGGTAGAAAAACGATACAATATGTTCTTAGGATGATAAAAAAGAAGAAGATGAAATACAATCTATCATCAATAAAATATGAATGTAATCTATCATCTCATCCATTTTTATACGAAGAGATCAACAAACCAATTTTATCCAGCAATTTAGATGCATTACCCTTATTCGTTCCATCATTTGGTGATAGAGGCGACGTCCATTGCTGGAAATTATGGAGGCTCCCGGTGAAGTCCGTAAGCAAACCATCGCCTCCGATTTTGTTCAACCAACAATCATATTCCTGGTATGGATCTTGATGGAAGTCGAAAGTAAAAACGAGTTTTCATTGCGGTAGGTGTGTGGATTAACCTGTATCAGAAACCAATCACACATCCATGCAGTTGTTCGATATCACCAGCACTTTTGACAATTGAAGGTCATAGATATTTAGTACCTGCAGATCTCGGGCATGTGCTCGGGTCATGAGATCCGTTGTGCCGATCACATATTCCTTGATGAAGTCGAGATACTCATCCGATGTAATTTCCCAATATGACTGAAATGTCGATAGTATTTTCTTTCATTAGATTTCCGAAATTCGGAAAGAGTTTAGATCATTAGAGCGAGTTATGAAGAAACAAGATTAGTATCTTGGCTGTCCTAGAATGCATGCTGTGAAACATCTTTGAAGGACTGTCCTACGGGAAACTAAAAGGGAAAAGAACAAAGGTGCATACGGGACAAACCTGATTAGTATCCCGAGTCGGAATCGTAACGTCATTGATCAAGAAGATCTTTGGTGAGTCCGTAAGATTCGATACGTACACAAGTGAAGTTGGAGCGAAGGACTGTATAAATAAAGGTTTTTCCAACCAATCTTTTGACATGTATTTATATCCATATTTCTTAACTGTCTCCACAAACTTGTCCTCAAATATCTTTCTGTTTGGCCATTACCTGTTGAAGACATTGTTTTGAAATCGAGGGAATCGAGGTTAAAAGAAAATATCATTCGATCGACACGGTTCACCGTATTTTAAAACGGAACCTAGTTTCACATGGTTTACAAATTGGAAAATACGAAAAACCAGTCCATTCTGTTGCAAATGATCAATTATGGTCTGGAGGCAGTCTCTGGGGAATGGGCGAAAAAAGTACTTGCATGCTGGTTGATGAACACTGGATTTTTAATCTCGGGATAAATTCCAACAACTCTCGGTGCATCTAGTGCAATCGAAATGAACTCCTCAAAAGTGATAATCAGGAACATTCCTGTCGAATGCACAAAAACAACTCAAATCTACCCCGAAAATAGTCGTCTTTCACAGTTAGTCAAGTGCCATAAAGTCCATAATGGACAATGTGGATCAAGGAAATCAGAAAAATTCTTAACAGCATAACTTGATACTAATATTTAGTTGGGGAGATGTGAAACCAGCAAGCAGAAACGAGCTGCTAGTTCCATTTCGCATACAAATGAAACCTCAATCTTTTATATGCTGATTTAAATCGATCCAAACAAATAAAAATCAAAGGGGAACTAACCATTATACTGCTGATCCCCGAATTTGTACCGCTGCTTCACCCGTAGCTTCTTTAATTCCTCTAGAGTGAAGTCAACTGCGTATATGAAGAATAATTTGTCATTTTCAGATGAAATGAGAAACATATTACTTGGAAATAAATACAAAACAGTACAAATTCAGAATTTTCGGAGAACTAAGGTGTTGTACTAAACACGCTGCTCGACTACAGGATTTGGCATCTCTACAGCACCATTATAAGAGGGAAAAGGGGCTAAAAGTTGTATGCTTCCATACCAGGAAAAAAAGCCTGTGGTGTTGACCCCTTGAATATCATAGTTCCTTCTACAATTCGCAAATTCTTTGTAATCCGCAACATCAGTTGTCTCATCGAGGGTGACATCATGAAAACACATAAGGACACCATCTTTAGATGATAGGATATCTGCTTCTATGAAGTCTGCACCCTCTGCAATAGCTCTCTGCAAGAAGAGGTACACAGTCAATGTACATATATAGCGTAACGACAGATAAATTAACATAATCCAGTATCTATGATTGATTAGGACATATAAATTAAGCGGCAGAAGCATTTGAACTAACTAATTCCAACACTATGGTGCCAAATAACACGTTCCATTGCACAAACCGAAAGGGAAAGCATGTACGGTAGTAGAATGTGCACACTCAAAACATACCATGTATGCAGCAGCCGATGCTTCGGGGATCTCTCCATTTGAACCTCGGTGTGCGATATTATACGGATGCGAGGTTTGCAGAGGCTGTCTATTTCGATTGGCTATTTTACTAGGAAGTGGATAGAAAGGCCTTGCAGTACGGGCAGCAATGAGTGACAGACACAAGAAAGGGACAAAGCCTGCATCGTTTCATAGCAATTTACTGATAATTCATTAAAATTGGGGGGAAAGTGCCATAATCTAAAGAAGCAGAAGCTGCAGGCTAGTTTTTGAATCTCTATCATACAAAAGTTATGGTGGTATTGGTGGATGATCATTATCCTTAACTGATAGATTCATACACACACCCACTTCTACTAATCATTTCCCAAAACTCTCGGTTCAAATGAATAAATGCAAAGGCTAGGAATTAATCTGTGATCATGTTCAACAATGAACTGAAAACCCCAGAAAAAAGGGGAGTAATATCATCAGAAAATGGCTAAAAGGAAACAATCATATAAGCATAGAAATTATACGAAAACCCATAAACAATACAATCAAGCTAAAAAGCAGCAGCATAAACCCAGAAAAAGTTAAGCACGATCGAATCCAACATTATGAAAAAAATCAATGGATAGCTCAAAACTTACCTCTAAAACTCATTACCTAACCCCTCGAACAATAAACCCACTCCTCGAAGAAGATGAGATCCCTTGTTTTGAACTCTAATCAACTCTAAACTGTAGTTTACAAGTTCCGGGCTGAATTGATATAAAATACATATAATATTTTCATCATATAAATAACGAAATTATTATAATAATTTTTTAGATAAATGAATAATTATATTTTTGTCTTATAAAACCTATAATTAATTATTTGATTACCGAAACCTATAAAACTAATCGAATAAACCGGATTTCAATTTACTATAAAATCTAGTTAAGTTTATAGGATCAAATCGAATAGGTCGACTTTTTACACGTTATTACAAAATCCATGAAAGGCGAAAGATAACCAATCATTACATGGCACGTGGGAAATCAATCCACGATCCTCACTGTCTATCCATTCATTTCGGACAAGGTTCTCTCAAAGACTCGAGCAAACAACACATCCTCCATTGCTGTAAGAAATTCGGAAGGAAAGGGAAAATAACCAGACATGGAATCCACTGGTGTTTACATAAGCAAAGGAAGTCGATTTCTGTTTCCTTCGAGGATTCCAGCAAAAAAGCCGTCTACATCATCACCGAATTCTGCAAATTTCTCACCTCTTCTCATTCGATCCATGGCTACTCAGAAACCGTTGCCTTCTGCTGCTAGGACTGTTGGTTCCAGAAAGGTCAGCTCCTTTGGCAGTTCATCCCCTCTCTGCGTTCTTCTGTTTAATTGGCGCTGTTTCGTCTTGGTTTTCTCTTGAAGTTTTTAACTGCAAGTACTCAAATGAAACAAAAATTAAACGTCTTAAAATTAATAATAAAAATTTAAGCACTAAAATAAATAAAAACTGATAGTTTAAGTACAAATGCATGTTTTTCCCTAAAAATAATAGTTTTCGTTGGTTCTTTTTCTGCCTCTGAGTTTTGACATGTTTAATGTTGCATTGAATGAGTCCGAGTACGAGTTTTAATAGCTTCTAACTTTATGTCGTGCCATGAAAGCAATGCAGGGCTCGAACTCGACCGTCTTCCCGCTGGGCGAGCCGGCACGGAGCGGCACGGTGGCGGCACAACCGGTGAAGCTGCTAACAAACGTGGAGAAGCTGAAACTGCTAACCAAAGCAGAGAAAGCAGGGCTGCTATCGGCGGCAGAGAAGTTCGGGTTATCTCTATCGTCGATAGAGAAACTCGGACTCCTCTCCAAGGCAGAGGAGCTCGGCGTGCTGTCGGCCGCGACGGATCCCGGAACTCCGGGGGCACTGTTGACACTCAGCTTGGGTTTATTGCTTTTGGGCCCTTCATGTGTTTACCTTGTGCCTGAAGACAACCTGTGGGAAATTGTGGTGCAGGTTGTGATGGCTGTTGTTTGTGTTGGTGGTGGATCAGCAGCCTTTGCTGCATCAAACCTTGTATCAAATTTGCAGAAGTCAAGCTGAATATTTAAATAAGCAGATTTTGTATCAAATTTGCAGAAATCAAGCTTTCACAGTAAAATGTAGTGATTTTCTACTTTACTTATTGTTATATTTAAGTCCTAGTTCGTGATTAAATAATAATTGTTAATTTTATAGGTTTCAGGTTCGAGTAAGGATGGACCAAGGGGCGGGTTGTCCCTTGAAAATTTAAAATTGTCATATATTTAGATTTTTTCTATATAATTTTTATTGAAAATCTGTTTTCGCCTCCTTTTCGATTTTTGGTTCGCCTATAACATAAAATTTTGTGTTTGTCCCTGGGTTCGAGCACTACCAAGAGAATTGAAGTAAAGAAGAAAGTTAAATCAATAGATTCAAGAGGTAAGCAGTTTAATATTGTATAAGTAAATATCAAGTTCGAATTTGTATGTACGTAGAAAATCTCCACCGGGAGACTCACCCACAAAAGTCTAGTGTTTGTCCGGGTTGGTCTGAATTAGTTAAGGTAAAACTTTTAAATAATAAGGGCAACAAAAATAAAAAGAAAGTTAAAGGAAGGCATTGAAGGCAGAGAAATTTGAGGTGCCATTGGTGTTATTGTTTGATGCAGTTGGAGCACGAATGCCATGTTTTTACATATCCACTCCCTCTGTTTTCACTGACATTTATTATTCATAGCACCATGGCAGTGCATTCGAAGCTTGACCCCTCTCTCGCCATGAATATCAAAGGTTTTGTAGCAGAAGTGGCATGCATCCTTCGATGAGCTTTCATACCTTTTTGTTAGGGTTTTGGTGGCCAAGTAGAAGAATCATTATTACCTGCACCAGCAGAAAGGAAAAGAACATATAACTGAGTCAGTGAGTCCATATTCAGTAACCGAGTCGTGATGATGATAGCTGAGATCATAGCGCTGAAAGTGATAGTAGGTGTACAATACTAGAGCGTTTCTTCTCTTCTTCCGTAACTTTTAGCTTTAAGGTCTCTTCTTCAATACATATTTCATACCCCTTCATGATTATATAGCAAATACATATGTTAGATTATAATTCTTCTGCTTATATGCACATATTCTTCTGGGATTTCATGCTCATCATGTTGGAATGTTGTTTCTTTTCATTCCTGTTATATATAGAGACTAAATGTATATATACAAGTATATATATTCTCATATAGGTTGCACAATCCATGCACTCTTATATTCTTATATGGGTTTTTTTAGATATATGTGTATATATACATGCACATATATATCATGATTTTTTTTAATATTCTAGTTAGTAATTGTTCAAAATCTTTCTTAGCAATTGACAATACATACACGTTACAGGCGCAATTGCTCGAATTTAAAACTCCTATAGAGAACAACACTCACTTTTACTAATGACGTCGTTCAATGAGTTCTAAGAATTAAATGATGAGAAATGTGAAGAAGTATATGTAATAGTGGAATATTGCAACTTTGTAAATCACTAAAGTTAACGATATAATTTAAAAGTCCAACTCGTCTGGTGTAAAGAGTCTCGGTGCAGCCATGGATGTGAGTGGTCCTTGCAGTGTGCAGAAATGCTTTAAAGAACCCTAGCTATGTTTGGTCCCTCCTATTCAAACCCTAGCTATCCACTGATCTCTAATGTAACCAAATTCACCCACCATTATCTGTTTAAATTTCCCCTTTCAATATGAACCCTAATTCCTAGCTCACTTCGCTGCTAAATTAATCTTTCTAGTATCCACTGAATGGTCCCCAATATTTACATATAATATATGGAGTTAGCCTTCTACTTTGTCTAGATATATGAGTAAGGATTCACTTACACTTGGTCTGAAATTAAAAGTTTTACATTTTTTTTAGGATCGTTGGACGAAAGAAAATAAAATGCCAAGATTAACTCATTTTTTTCAATGAATATATTTTCATTTTCCATTATTATTCTCAGCTTTTGATTTCTCTTAATCTAACACTTAGGGTCAGGATAGTATGAACACCCATATTTGAATTCCATCCTACATAAATTATGTTTAAATTCTCTTCAATTTTGTTATAGTTTAAATTCTAATAAACAACTTAATTTACATGAAGTCATACTTGATTAATTAGATTAAGCTTCATGGATTTGTGGGAAAATGATTATGCATACAACATGTTAATTTTGTTATGCATATGTGATACAATACTTCAAACTTTTCATAATTCTTCAAATCCTTAAATAATAATAATTATACTTAACAACATTAATCTCATAACCTCCAAAATGTCAATTGAGTTAAGAATATGTGTACATGCATACTCTTAACCATTTGATATTGGTCGCTCAATCACCCTACTGCAGTCATTGGTGTTCGAACTCGTGACTTCTAGGAACAACAACGATTTCTTTAACCACTGAAATAAGTTGATTCGTGCAAAATCCACATTAGATAAATTTTAATGTTGTTGGGTGTTGAACCCACGTGTTGAAGCATGGGATGCCTATGCCTTAGCAGTTTAGGATAGGTTCTTTGGGTTCAAAATGGCACCTAGCTTGAATAGTTTGGTCAAACTACCCCATGCTTAACATATTAAATTTGAAACTGGAGTTTAAAACTCTCTTCCTCTACTGTTAATGCACCACATTATTTGTCCAAGGAAAAAATTAGGTACCTAACTGTACTAAATGCTAAAGTTAGATGTCAAAAGTGATATTTACCCATCATTCTTGGTTGAAATTTATTCTCTCTTTTATTTCTCATTGTAATTTCAATTTTTCTAATTTGTTTACTTTACATATTAAATTATTTTGTTTACTCTGCCGTTATCTTTATAAAGTTGTGATGATATGTCATTTTTATTATTATTTAATATGGAATAATTGAAAATATAAGGGTAAATTATATCGTTCTCACTAAAATTTACTCTTCTCCTATTTTACTCACCTAACTATAAAAAAAACAAAAGGTGGTCGGATGCCATCGTCGATCACGTTCAACCGTCGTAGATGGTGGTCGTTCCATCTCAAATTGCATGGGTCGCTTCACCTCGACACCTTGAGTTCGAGTATGACCTCCGTTTTGTCGAAACTTGCTCTGAAGTCCACAAATTGGAGATTAAAAGTGAGGTATTCTAAATGTGTTAGTCGAGATTCACGGATTTTAGGATATTTTCCGGTGAAACAACCACTAAATTTAGACTCAGGAGATCGAGACGAACCGACCCATGAATTTTGATACCAAACGACCACTATCAACGACAGTAGACGGTGGCAAGAATGAAAAATGACGTGGTGGTCGGCGGCTACAATCGATCACCTTATTTGCAAAGTAGAGAGAAAATTGGGGGGTAGAGGATTCGAAACAATGTCGTTTTGGTGTTTGTGCCATGTCATAACACTGCAGAGTGAACAAAATGATTCAATCTGTAAAGTTCAGTGAGCAAATCAGAAAAACTGAAAGTATAGGGAGTAAAATAAGAGAGAGAGTAAAGTTCAATTAGAAACAGTGTATTTTACCCTTAAAAATCTAGATGTACGGATATTATTATGGGCTGAATGTATTCGTTAAAAAACTCAAACCCAAACCCCAAAACCTTCTAAATATCACTAAAGGAGGCAAATATATATATATATAAAAACCCCGGCGAGGATCTATCTAACCCGACCTTTCGCTTACGAAGCGAACGCACTGCCGCTATGCTTCGGAGGCAGTTGTTTCGAGGTCTGACAAACGCTTTGATGATTCTTGTTCTCATATGATGCAAATTAACGTCTCCAACATCTATAAGATCGATGAATTGTAGTCCAAGCATCCACCTCGCACTCAATGGCTCTATATCTATAGTTTCATCCCATCGTTAATCCAATTCTAATGGCGTGAAGCTCAGCAGCTATGTTTGTGCCGTAACCCACGCACAAGCCGAGCTCCTCAAGATGCCACCCATTCGATATCCCGACTTGCACCATCTGTATTTAGTTTTACCCTTTCATTTCATACGTAAAGAAGGTCCCATGCAAAGTACTAGGAATGCAGTGGTTCCGAACACTTCGTGCCATGGTGCACTCTCTCAATATGTGACTCGGGTTCTCCATAGGACAACCAAATGGTTCAGCCAAACGAAGACGTAATCCCCATGAAATTACGTGAAGAACCAAATTTCAAAAATCGGAAGACCAAATGCTCAATGTTATGTAATTAATCGCAGAACTGCGATTAATCGAACATCAAGAATTGTTCGGACTTGGATGTTGTGGAGTAACCATAGCGGGTTCTTCTATGGATTCATCCTCAACAATTCTCGAAGTTGATTTCTACATTGCAAAGCAATATAAGGAAACCAAAAGAAGCAACTGAAAGAATCGTAAAGATTTACATGAATTGTCACATTTGGCAACATGAATTTCAAATATGTAACCGAATCGAGAGTTGTCGATAGAAGGAACACTGTCTCGAAGAGAAAGCCGACCCATGAAAGGCCAATTAAGGCTATGACTATCAGCAATTACCATATGAATATGAGCCAAAAGTTTCTGCTAACACAACACAAACTCTAATGTGGACCTGTCTCTGCGATAGCTAGTTGCCCGAGTGGATTTTGCTCAATGAACTTCTGAACAGCCTCTGCTTCAGCTAACCGTTCAAGATATACTCCAAGATCTCCACCAGGTGCTGTTGCATATTATTTGACAATGACAATTACGATATAATGTGCACACAAGGAATGATAAGATGGGGGAGGAATTAGGCACACTACAGATGACCGTCGATGCAAACTCAAATGGTAGATCCGTAACACGAACTGATATGATATACAGGTAATGGTCCATGTAACTGTGAGCTTTTGTCATTGTTTACATTTTCATTTTCTCCCGATGTCGTTGAAATATGAGAGTATACATCACTAGGGATATGTGCAAAGTACAAGCTAACCGAACTCAGTTATATACGTTGGTCTTGCAAAAGATTAATGAAAAATTAGCGACAGTAGATAAGGTCAGCTGAAACTGAAAGTGATTTCAACTCGATATACACAACTGAGTTGTGATCATGGCTGAAAGATCAGATTAGTACAATGACTGGATGTGCAATTACACTGTTCCATACGGTGAACGCAGCTTTATAACAC